TATGTTACTTGTTAATTTGCTTGTTACTTTGACACCAAGGTACTTGCTAAATATAATTACAAAGCAGTTCTTAAAATTAGGGGGTAAAACCCAAAAGAACAAGTTAGACTCCTCTTAGTACCACCACATCCCACTATAAGGAACTTATTAGTTCTTTGCAATTCTAAAAGAGCTATTTTTGCAACAGCAATGTTTCTCGTGGCTGTAATATGCATATTTCATTTACCACTAACCATAGCCATTACTTCTCTTGCTTTATTTTGTTATTGTAAAATTTTGCTTACTTTTAAACACCATTGCAACCTCATTGTACTAATTTTGGAAACCACTGATGCAAAATCAGCTATGTGGCTTACCCATAGCATTCTTTTGCGAATTTTTGAGCTTTTTGTGATTCTTAAGACAGACTTGACTTCTTTGCTCACCAATATGTTTGTTTGAATGTGTCAAGGGGATAAACTATTTTCCTCAAAAGATGTCGCATCCTTGGTCTTACTACGCGTCCTCTGGATACTATCAATATCCATACTATGGAGTACCTCTCTTCATTTCTGTAATCACTTTTAGGCTTTTGGGTGTAATGCTCAGACATGCGGTGACAGTCAGTCTCAACAGGCTGCCGAAGTACTTGGAACTGCATCTGAAATTCCCCAACCACCTGGTGCACAAAGTGATAGTAGTGTTTCGCCTGCTGCACCGACGGCTTCAACTTTGCCCCCTCAGTGTGCATATGGCGCTTACAATGCTTACTTTCAGTATCCTATGGGAACTTATTCAAGTGATCCGGCAGTGGACGCTGCTCAACGATGGAATGCTATGAACTGTTCTTATTATGGTTACTATTCCGGGACAACTATCGTTGGATCTACACAAACCGCCTTGAACAATCCTAGATCGGATAGCCGATTAAATAGTCAAAGTACTATTTTTTTTCTAAAAAAAAACATTGTTAGATGGGGCTGCAAATCCTGTGGGTTCTGGAACTGTTCCTGGGAATAATAACGCGCCTGCTGCCGGTAACACCCCTAAGCTCTATGAGTCAGGGGGTGGTGAGAGTAAATGGAGTCCCGAGTTAAAGTAAGCCGCTTAATGTCATAAATGTGTTAGGAATTACGTTCAAAGGGCTTTCCTTAGTACGGATACTCCCATTGAGAAGGATCAAATGGAAAGGATACTTCGACAGAAAATTGAATACGTGTTTCGCAACAACGTTTCCGTCGACTGGACTAAAGAACCCATTCCAGCCATACCCACTAAATGTCTCGCAGCAGCTACCCAGATCACGGCGAAGAAGTCATCAGTAAAGTAGGTTGTCGTATACCCCAGTTTTTGTGTTCCAGTGTGCATTTATTACCATATAAGTCCCATAGAGGCGGTCCCGTAATGATTTGAAACCCCACAATTTTATTCTGCTAGTGTGGTGCGTCCAGTTCCACTTCAACCATGGCGGACACGGGGTCGAAATGCCGGATCTTTACCGACTGGTACTTTGGCTCGAACTCAACAGGCATCGGTGCTTTTTGGTAAAGCCGATGTTGAAAAGTCTAATGTGGCACCTTCACCCCTTAGCTCTAATAATCGCGCGACTGAACCACTACCAGTACCAGAACTTGTTGAACATACAAAAAGAAAAAGGTTTTCCCATCAACGGAGTGGGTCTTCTCGGTCGTCATCAGCTTCCTCGTCTTACCGAGATGAGAGTCGTCAAAAACACATTTCTAGGAAAAGGTCATCACAATCTCCGGTGAGACCCAGTAATAAAAGACGGAAATGTCATCGGGAGTCTGGTACCGACAGCGATTATTTAACAAATGACCGGTGGGTATCTAGCGAAATTTCATATTCGGTATCGAGAGATGCTTCAATCTTCGTTTAAGTATTTGTATATCTGTAGCTTCTTCGCCCTTATTCCGTTTTCTACCGCCAATTTATTCTGGGTATTAAGCCCATCGCTAGCAGAATTTGCAAATTGGTAAACCGTCACAGCATTGGTCCTTTATGCTTGATAGGCTCGGGGGTATAATCATGTCGGCTCACTCGAATTGTTGGTTTACCGGTTGGAAGACTCCCATGAACTGGTGTACATTTAATTTTCAGAACAAACTCCGAAGGATCCGATAGCTCATCAATCCCGAGTTCACCAAAGGCTAGGCGCGGTCGCAATAAAAGGCGCAACGGTGGTGGTCGGAAGAAGTCATCTCCAAAGAAAGTTTCACCCTCGTCTCCCATTGGCCGTGGAGGAAAGCGCGGTGGCGCTAATGTTGTCCGAGGTCGTGGTGGCAAAACCGCTGCTCAGCAGAAACGTTGGACTGCTCCCGATACGTCCCAACATCGACTGAGCCAACGTGCCGATCGTTTTAAGGATCACCTAGGTGCTGGGTCTATAGCCAAATCAACTAAGCAGTTGAGCCTACTCGCTAGTGCCACGGACTCGGATCTTCTGTCCGAGAGGTTGGAACAGTTTAATATCGTCGGTACTATGCAGGAACTTGAGAAACCCTACCTGCGTTTAACTGCTGTGAGTGTCGGTTTCAGTAACTTTTTGACTTGGGACTCCGGATTTTATACGGAGAAACGTGTATTTAGGCTCCCGACCCGGCTAACGTGCGACCTCCAGATGTTTTGAAGAAGGCCGTTGCGCACGTCAAACAGCGTTGGAAGGAGCGCGGTGATTACTTGTGGGTATGCGAACAACTCAAGAGCATTCGTCAGGATCTCACGGTACGTCTGCATTATTTGCATTTTTTGTGTAGTTGGTTTGTAACTAAGGGGATCATTGGATCTGACTTTTCCTTAGGTACAACGCATCCAAACGGAACTCACTGCCGAAGTTTACGAAGTTCATGCTGACATCGCCCTTGAAGCTGGCGACTCGCAGGAATTTCACCAATGCCAGTCGCAACTCTCTCTCCTCCATGCGGAAGGTCTTGGTTTATCTCGTCATGCGGAATTCACGGCCTACCGTCTTCTGTACTACATATTTACCCAGGATTTATTAGGTATATTAGCGTACGATTGCTACTTCAATTAGCTTTTGTTTAGTCATCCGTGAACCTAGATCTCACAGTGCACCTTAGTGCTGAGCACAAAACGACCTAGTAAAACTAGTGCAGAATGAAGTTTGTTTATGAAACCCCTCTTTTTTGTCTTCAGGTATGAGCACGCTCCTAGCGTCATTGAAGGATTCACAGAGAACCAATCCCTTCATACGGTTTGCTCTGACAGTTCGAGAGGCTTGGGCTCTTCGTAATTATAAGCGCTTTTTCCATCTCGCCTGTGACCCAGACGCTGCTGCTTCGTTCGAGACGAAAACGAGCAAAATGCGTGGTTGTCGACAGATCCTGTCCTGGTCCCTTGATCGGGAGCGCAAATTCGCTCTTAAAGCCATCTTTAAGACGTGCGTACTCTCGCAAGATTCCTTTCGTGCTGGTTTTTATGTATAGGTGTGCGTATGCATCAACTAACTTTGTAGAGTAGGTTTACGGTCTGTAAGTTTCGGTGCACGGAAATTATTCATATTACCTCCTGTTCCCTTTGCGGGTTCCTTCAGAACATTTCTTAATCCAGGTTAGCGCGCTCCTTAGCCTGCACCTATGGTAAGTTACATAAAGTCAACATCGCCGCCCCTGATTGTTACTCAAACGATGCCAAAAGGCAGACGTAAAAGGTCTTACGTCACATTGTCCATAATCCGTGTTTCTCTTCGGACAGGTTGTTATTTGAATGCAGTGAAGCCTCTGCACTCCTTTCTCCCATTTACACTCGACTGCTTATTTTGTCGTTAATTGGCGTATTTTTTTCATCTCCCTTTTTGGTGGTGCATTCCTCTTTTTGGCCTGTCCCCGTACTGCTCGCGTTTCCCCTTGATCTCTCTCGTCATTGACGTCTCCACCTGCCTTCGTGTGCGCTCCTCCAGTTATCGTCCGTACTTGAGTTTCGACTTTGTCACGAAAACCCTTGGTTTTGGTGATGCCAGTTCGTGTGCTGGTTTCATTACCCGAGAGCTAGGTGTTGCTGCTGCCAGTTTGGAAAGTGTTGAAAAGGTAGACTGTAAGGAGATTTGGTCCCAGATGCGCCAGTCTGGCGCTGCGGATGCAGTCGACCACTAGAACCGTGACGCTGATTTTAAGTTTTGAGCTGTCCTTTCACACGTATGTGCGTTCTAGCCCTACGCCAGTACAACTTTTGTCCAAGACAGTAACTAATACCGGGGTTTCGAAAGAGCAAAGGTATCAACGCCCTACGGAATGGTGCCACACTCGTCTTTCAAAAGTGTGCAGGACGTTCTTGTACATACCCCGCATCTCCTCTACGTAGTTTTATACTTTTTTTGAGTCAATAAAAGTTTCCACCCACATTAGCTTTTGCTGGTTGTCACCGAGGCTGAAGACGAGCGCATCAATAAATGAGTGGGGAGCTGACTTCCTATCCAGACGTTCCATTTTTACCCCAAATGCGTGGCGGAGCCCGTAGGGGGAGACGTCGCACTGATGGGAAATGCCCAGCTCTCGTAAACTGATTTGCGGGGTTTTAGGACACGCCTAAACTGTTCGTTTTGATCGAGTTTATCGGGGCTGTGGGTGGTAGGTGTTTACGCAACTACTACATAGCTTGAGAAGTTTTGGCTGCAATGCCTCCAGCCAAGCCTTTGGGCCCCTCAATTGTAAACCACCTTGCCTTTTAAACTACGCAGTTCGTCACGCGTGCAGATGGAGTGCAAACACAATGCTACGATGGGTTCTGAATTCCTCTTCTGCAACTGGCATCACGATGAACGCCAATGCCCGATCCCCCTCCCATTAAAGGCCCTAAGGGTATAAAATTGACACGAAAATCGGGGACAGTCCGCCAACTAAGATAAGACGATGTATTGTCACCAGTGAAACCTATGAATCCGCCTTTGTAGCAGAGTCAGACGCCCACAAATCCTTCACAAGTAGAATGAACCCCACAAGATCACTGACCTCAAGACTACTTCACGATGAGACTAAAAATAAGCAACAGTGAAAACGAAACAGCAGCTCGGTTTACCACCTTTGTGATCACTGAATCGGTTCAGTGTCATGGGGTGCGACTTACGCCAAGTACTAATGTTCTGGTTGGCATCAAAAAACCAAACAACTGCGACCAAGGCAACGCGCAATGAAGGCCATGAGAGCAGCACCTAGGGACGAAAACTAAGTCGATCGCGCCTTCCCGTGCGATGAATCATACCACACAAACACGCAAAAGAGCGCATTCACATTTGTGCCTAGCACAATTAACCTGTTATCAGGTTTGCGGCAAAATACCGCAGAGGACGTCCCTAAACGTATTACTTACCACCTTGAAACACAAGCATAAAATTAATGAACCCACGAAAAGTGCATTGCTTCCCAAGGCAAAAAAACTGCTCACTACTGATTACAAAGAATTAGAGTCGAAATCTGCACCGTGAATAAGACAGTTGCATAAAACACCGACATAAGACATTCGAAATCGGTTACATATATTGGGTACTTTACAAAGGGGCTAGGAAAACTATGAAATGGATTAGCGATATGTACAATTAAAAATGTGATCTCTTCCACGCATCAATGAAATCGTGGGTCGAAAAAACTTCCACTGACCGGCGGTGGCTTCTGGGTGAATGGCCGATCGTTGACATTCCCACCTACGATGGAGGAAGTCTTGAGAATGCTCGGAGTGGTTCTTCTGGGAGCTTCGTTGGATGGGAACCCAGCACCTTTGGAGTATATTATCGGCGGTTCCTCAGACAAATCTGTACAAATGTCTGCAAATTCATAGGACATCGAGGCTCTTGCACCACCCAGTGAGGAGTGAGAAGGTCCTGAGGGGCTATAATCGATGAAATTGCCGCGTGAGGAAGGACCGGGCACTTCTTCGATCATCCGGGATCGTTTGAATGACGGTGCGTGCGCTGGTGGCAATTTCAGTTGCCGCTTCACATTTTTGGATTGAGGACGCCGATAGCTAGGAACACCCATGTGACGAAAGTCATCTTCCCAGCCATTATTAAAGTCCCCGGGCTAAAATAATAGAAATGATTGCATAAAATAGATGGCAAAAAGTATATTCAACAAACTGGGATTCCAGCATTTACCATGGATTCTGATTCAGGATCCGATTCGTCAACAGACATGCCATCGGGAGGATAGGCTATATAGAACACGAAAACGTTTAAGACGTGGGAAATAAAGCAGTATAAGTAAAGCCTGATGAAAAACACCTTTGGGGCGTTGAATCGGTGGTCGACGGTTAGTAGGTGCAGCCCTACTTCGCTAACAATATGGGTAAGTTAGAGACATCATACCGATACCTGGATTTGGTTGTTACGATTTTGACTATTCTGAACCGCAGGTGATTTACCAGTTCTAGGAAATGACGTCGCTCAAAATTATAAGCAAACTTTTTGCCATCCTGTTCGATATTCTGCGTCGATTTCGACTGCAGTGCAATCAACTTTTCCAACAAGAAACTGGAAAGGAAACGTGATGTTACAAATTAGAAATCATACGCTCTGTGTCTGGATATTTCTTGAAAACTTTTACGGAGACGATCTAATTCTTCCTTAAGGAGTTCATTTGCCTAAAATTTTACTGTAGGAGAGTTGGAATGCGAAATACCATAACTTGTTCGCTGCACAGCAACTTCAGAGACTCATAACGGTCTTTCAAGGATATATCTACAAATACATTAAGAAAAAGTGCATAAGAAGCTTGCTTTCTTCCGATTCTGTCATTATGAAAGCGCGAATGTCTTCCCGATCGTAGCAAATAATAAAGACCAGAGAGCCAGTTCAGTGCAAATAGGAATGGATCAAAAAAGCGAGCGAGCCGCGCAAACACCAACTTATAATGGGTGGTATGTGATAAGAGCAGTCGACATGATGGCAGGCAGCAGCCATTATTAGTGAGTGGGTTGTAGGCAAAATGCCAACTTGTCCGTAATTTTTTATTAGTATTTGAAGTTTTTGGCGGTAAGATTTTTTATAATTGATTCGTTTGAATTGATTGGGGTGCGTATGAGGTTTTCAAAGCGGGGCGCTAGTCGCCGCATTCTGCTGGCGTGACTTTCCTGTGATAATCTAACAAATTGTCCTGTGTTTCCGAACTTCGAAGTCATAAACGTAGGTATTTTAATGCCCTGCTGTTGAACCACATAGTCAGACCTTACTAGCCTCTTTCGACCTTGGACACAGTACTTGCTCTCAACAAATTTTTTATGGTTCTTTCTAGGAGTTCAGTATACTTATTATTAATTTGAGCATCTGCGTATTGCGCAGCCTATTCATGGAGGCGTATACTGATAGCTTCAGGCGTGACCAATTTTATCATCTCATTGTGTAATTTCACCATTTCTACATCAGTTAGATATGTTGACATTTTGTATTTTAGATGACACGGCACTCGAAAAATTGCACCGCAAATACGGTGTATACTTATCACGAGCGTCGCAAAGACGCTAAACATTCAGGATACGGCACTCAGACCGTCCGTTTAGGCAAGGATTCAATACGAGCATTCGATTGCTGTTGCCTTACACTTCAACCGGCGAAGGATCCCGTCATCACTCAGGATGGTTTCATTTATGATCGTGCCGCTATTCTTGAGTACATTCTCTCTCAGAAGGCCGACATTAAACGGCGCCAGAAAATATACGCTAAACAGTGCGATCGCGCCGCCCGTGAGGCTTTGGAGAAAAAAAAGGCTGCTCAGGATGAGAAAGCTCGCGCGTTCATGGCCCTTAACACCCTCGATACGCACTCCAAGGCCTCAGCTCAAGCCGCGGAGTCGGAAGCCCTCGCTAGCGTCTCCAAGGGAAATTGTAAACTGACGTCATTCGAGGGCGACTACAAACCAGGCACGGCTGCCAGTTTCTGGACCCAGACTCCAAGCGCTAGCGATTCTTTGAAGCATGAAAAAGACATTCCCAAACCTGATCCTGTGGTCCGTTGTCCTATGAGTGGCAAACCGCTGCGATATAAGGACCTCATAACTGTCAATTTCACGAACCTAGATGTAGACGATGCTGGTTCTGGGAGCTGCAACACTGGAGCTAACGAGATCCGACGAGTATGCGCAGTTTCAAAGGATCCTTTGACAAGCGCTACTCGCTGTTTCGTCCTGCGCCCCTCGGGCGCCGTGGTGACTCGTGAGGTTGTGGAGAAGATTATCCGCAAGGAAATGATTGATCCCATCTCCGGAACGAAGCTGGCCGAGTCGGATTTGATTGAGGTGCGAGTCGGCTGTGGAGGCTTCGCTGATGGGCGCTCCGTTCTCACTGCCTCACGGGTGGCTCCTGTGATGCCCTCTTGATGTTTCTTTTTTTCTCATCTCTTCCCCCCCCCCCCCATGAACTCCTCCCCTACCTTTACACCCAACTCAATGTACAAATGCACGTATATATACTACATTGCCTAGTCTTTTCAGTGTGTTTTATGTGTGTTTAACTTTCGATTTAACAGTTGTTCGTCTCTTTGCTATGGTTGGGGAGTAATCTGATTTAATTTGCTACGGGCTCGTATCGTTTCCACTAAATTCGTCACTTTTTTCATGCAGTTATCCCCAATTATTTTTTATCAGGCAAGAGTTATGCCTGCTGCCGATTAAGTAATACGTTCTGTAACTAAATAAGTAGTCTAAATATCCCCTGCGTCGCAGTTCATGTCTGTGGTTTGATGGTTATCGGTTTCGACAGAGCTAGTACTTGGTAGATGTGACTCTAAAACGAGGTAGGGAATGCCAACATACAACTCTCCTCGGAGAAACGCTCTTCTGATTATTTGACCAATGTTTCCCCAAATTCTTTTGGACAGATCCTATGGATCCCTTTGATCTAGTCAGCGAGGAAGTTCCCTCCATCCCCTTTGAACAGAAGCAGCTGGAGATTTTGGCAAGCCCAGATGTTTTTTACAATGCTATAGAGGTAGGCATGGTCCTCCACTTATAATAGTCGCCTAGAGTGGTATCAAAGCAACTCGACGCCGCATTGTTCTTGCCACCCTCTACCTCGGTATGGGCGAACTCGAAAAACGGCTGGTATGCATCGGAATGCCCTACTATTTATTATTTAAGTAGCATTAAATTAACCCCATCTACTTTGTAGGTCAAGGCCATTGTTGAGAATAAAAACAATCCACGGGTAACTTTACTTGCAGACGCAATACGATCCACGCGTACACTCAAGGCAACTGCAGAATTCTCAGGTGTTCAGGGGTGTGAAGTGAGTGAAAACACTTCCATTACCACACAGCACTCTCCTTTGTTCCTGCTTCAGCGGATCGCGCGATTGCCATCTTCCCGAGTGGCTCTCTACCAGAGTCATCGTGTGCGTGGTTGGATGCATCGGATTTTGCCTGAGAGATTAAATGAACTCTTGGGTCTCCAACACATGAAAGTCTGTGTTTTCGACGATGACGTCATCGTTAGTGGGTGTGTTTGACATCATGTCAACTGAACGCATTGTTATATTCGAGGCAGGCAGATGCCTTTCTGGAATTGGCCTCTCACCTATGCATTATTTCTCGGTTTAGTGAAGTAAATAATGAATGAGGCTATTCCACCCTTTTAATAATAAAAATCACTATTGACGTAGGCGAAGATTCAATATTATTTCCATCACTTGTTAATACCTTCTCATCCTCAAATATCCCTTTCTCTTATTCCTAACACAGAGCGAATTTAAGCGAGGAATACTTCAAAACGCGGCAGGACCGCGCGTGGTTGTTTCGAGGTGTTCCAGCTCTAGCGGACTTCTACTCAAACCTCATTGATGTCGTTGTTTCTTTGAGCTATCAGGTCACCCCAGAGGGCGAGCTTAAAACCACTTCGAAGGAAACCGACCCAGAGTTGGGTAGGTGTCCTAACTTTGCCACTGAATCGCTCTTTTGAGCTCTGCACTTTCCTGATTTATAATTTTCCTTTTGAACCTTTGTCTATTTATTCTCGGTCGGTTGTTGACCAGTAGTCGCATTGATACATTTTAAAACTACTTATATAATCTCCAGACAGGAGATCACCCGGTTTGAGGCAAGATGGCTCATACTGTGAGTCATAGCGTTGGTGTTAGCACCTTTTCTTACTTGAGTTTTCTTAACCATAGTAGCAGAAATTCAAATTAGTACTTATTTTTATTTTGTTATGTCACCATGTTACTATTTTTTTTCTGTATCGTTAAATAAAATCACGACTGAACTGGTCGTCCCGAAAGAAAATTCATCTTGTATCAGTAGCATTTGACGGTGCCGAAACTCGGTTACCCCAAATCACCCCCTAGCACTTTTTGTCCCACTATGATGCCTATTGTTATCGGTGTAATTCACTTCACATCGACATTATGTGCGCTTTTTCTGAACGCGATCTATCACACACCCGTACAACCGCCTTGTTTACTACTTTCGAGTGAAAACACCGCACGGACATCGTGGCGTCTGGTATTTCCCCGACGCCCGTCGATTGCCTCTTCTACTGTCTCCTTCGGTTGCTCCCTCTCCCGCCCCCTAGCAATGTGTGTTGCTGCGATCTAGGATGATGATTTATAGGTACAGCGTTCAAGCCCGCCTCCGTGGTGGGAAATTCCGCAGAAGTCACGTGTGCACCCCCCTCCCCCTCCTCATCCCTCAATCTATTCTGTGTTTCTCCACTCCATTGGCCTTTCTGCACCTGGCAAGCTTAATGCCTACCCTCACTCCCCTTTTTCTTTCATCCAATCCTCTCCTACCAAAACTTTATGTTACTGCCACTGTAAGCTGTTTCTTTCTCTTTCGTTTTATTCTTTATCTTATGTCCTCACAAAGTCGGTATTAAGGCCTTTGTCCGTGCTTTAAACTACTAGCTTAATTGATGAGTTGATGTGCTGCCCCAGGAACTCGTTCACTCCCTCATCTAGCAGACAAGAAGGCCTACTGTGACCTTTTTCGATCGCGCATTGAAGCCTTTCTCACGGAGGCAAAGACGAAGTACGCCACAGCGATCGCACCAAGGGCCTATGACAGTGCGGTCTTCCCGACAGTGCAGATGGGTGCCTACGGCATACAGCAGGAGGTCCCGCTGGTGCAACGACTCCTGCATGTTCTGCCAGCGTGCGATATCGCTTTCACCACTGGCTACTTCTGTCCCACGCAAGAACTCGAAGTGGCAATGACTGCCATTGCTCGGCTTCCTGGCCATCCAGGCTCACAAGTTCATATCCTGTGTGCTGCACCTCAGGTCTGCCCTAGCTACCCTTCAGTGCCTTTTTTGTACTCTGTCATAAATAGTCTCTACGGCTGTATTAGCTTCGCTTCCTTGAAACCATTAATCGGGAAACACTGTATCCACGAAGCTAAATTGGATATATGTCATCCTCCTCCCTCCAAAAGGCCAACAGTTTCTTCAATTCCAAAGGCCTCGCCGGGGTTATTCCAGCAGCATATCGTGAGATGCTAATCTCTTTTCTCCAACACACCGCCCGATTACCCAACATTCACGTGCACGAGTACTTCCGCCCCGGCTGGACCTTCCACGCCAAGGGCCTCTGGTTGACCACGCGTGGTACTGCTGCCACCACCCTCGCGTTCGTTGGCTCCTCAAATTATGGCTATCGGTCACGCAACCTCGACCTTGAGAGTCAGGTGGTAGTGGTCACGCGCGATGTGAAGCTGCAACGCCGGATCGAGGCTGAGCGGAGGTGGCTGTGGGATGCACGCTACCTACATCCGGTTACATTGCAGGGGCTTTTGCTGCCCACGGAACCAAGATTCAAGTGGTTTATCAGGTGGACTTTACCCTTCCTTCGACGTATCATGTAGATGCCTTTTTTGTCAATGCAGTTTGCACGTCACTCCTTTTTGCCATTCACCAGTCTATAGGCAGTCGAACAAGCCCTTTTACGAGGCTGATTTAACCATGTAGAAACCTTATTGCAGCGTTCACAGTCCGAACAAAGTTGTCATTCAGCAATAACGTGCAGCAATCTGGGCGTTTCTGCTGATTTATTGGTGGAGGAGGCTATTGTTTCTGAGTAGCCCTGTTCTTGACATCCGCTACGCTCTAGTAATAATGGACTTAGTTGCTGAATGGGAAAATCACGACTTCTTTCGTATCCATCTTCGTACACACGCACATCTTCCGGCGTACCCTTGCAATAATCGTGGAACGGGAAGCACGCACATTTTTTTACTTTTTTAATGGTGCAAGCTGGCATTTTGTTTGCCTCAACTTTGTTTCAGCCTCTGACGCATCAGTAGTTGGCGAATAAAATCTGTAGCCCGAAGAATTTACTGAGGTCTTGTTTGGGAACAAAATCTCACCTTTCGACGTCAACTCAAGTGGAATACTGGCTTATTACCAAAAAAACATAGTACCCACATACATTAATAACTTAAATATTCGCGAGATTAGGCATAGAATCCGCCGCGGATTGGGAGAATTCGTGAATGTTTGGCACGAGTCACTGAAAGTGCTAGTAGATGCTTAGCCCTGGAATGTAATCTCCAAAAGGGAGTGAAGTAGGACTACCTTTGGGTGAGAATGGCTTTGCTTTTCACAGCCTACAACGGTACTGTTTAAATCCATTTCAATATTCACGTGAATTACCACGATTTTGTTTGTGGAAGTGGTACGTTTTGAAAGCACAGGCTGAAACAAGTGTAAATAATGGCGCACCGAGAGTCGCAGTAGCAGTAGGTACACTTTGAAGTGCAACAACTCTTCATCTAAAAGTAGAGGAAGACAGAAAATCTTGGCGGTAGGATGAATATTAGCACTGGATGCCGTCTCTCCTTGCCATTGCAGCCTAAAAAATAGTCAAACTTCTGCATCGTTGTGTTGGTGCTGCACCCGAGTGACCCCTGATTATGAGACATAGGTGTCTGGTAATAGCTTTATCACAAGGGAGCGGACGAGTTATGAGTTTGGTGCCTTCTTTTAACGATTTTGAGAGGTAGATTTGATGCGCGTTGAAACTGAAAAGCTATTAAGAGCCCTGGCTTATTGGTTTAGGAAATAAAATTCCCTATACCGACCAGAATAGAATGTCAGCCGGAGAGCCTAACACATTCGTAACCTGGGTCTGAGAGGAGCGTCGGCCACCATAGTTCAGATGTTGTACTGTCCTTCTATATGACACCAACGGTTGTACTATCGAGTCGACTGGTTCAACAGCTGCTCGAAAACTGTCGCCTTAACCTCAACCAGTCCGTTTGCGACATGACCAGCCACCGCAAACTGATGAAGAAGACGTGTCACATATTTGTGACGCCAGACCCGGGTAAGTTAAACAGGTGTTATAGAGACTTTGCAGCCACCAGAATTGGCAAATGGATGTATGCTGATGCTTGTGCAAACTAACGTATGACAAGAACCCCAATCAAGTTAAAGGTAGGCGTTGGACTTGGAAACTCACTATAGTCGCCAAATCTCCAGACATCACTTACCACATCCTCAGAGCATTGGACGGATTCTTTCTAATAAGCTGTGAAAATTGGGAGGCTACAAGTAAGCTAGATACTCCCATGAGATGTGATACAGTGAAAAGGGAATTGAAAGTGGTAATTTCATGCCCTCTCACCTCACACACGCCAACCGTCTTGCCAACTGAAGTGCAAAGGCGGGCAACGATGTGGGACATCATCACTCACGGGGTAAAGGTGGAACTCGTCAATTGGAGAAGGCGGATATTTGAAGTGGCAGTGTGTACCACAGCAGTGCTGGGTGCTGCCACGATTGGCTGGTCCTCGAGGTCGCAGGACGCTGCACACACGCCGGCCCATCACGGCCGTAGTTACGTCTAGTTTGGACACCGCCGCAGCAAAGCACCACGCAATGAGATGCATTCAACACCAGTTCCTCCTCTCGGCTCTCCTTGTACGTTTCCTTGTTCACTGCCCTTCCCCCCATCCCCCCTCCTTTTCCCATTTATCTCCAACCCCATTAGACCAACTCCTTTACTGCATCACGAAATCACCCCAGAGGGTAAAAGTTTCATTTGCTACTTCTATCTACTTCGGGGGCTAATTTTGCATTTATGAATCTCATTACTTTTCCACAGGTAGAAGAAAATAGCTATAGTGCGTTAGTAATTGCCTTTCCCACATATTTCACTACAATTTGTTGGTGTAAGGAGTCAGAGAGCTAGTTAACAAGTTTAAAAAGATAATCAAGTTCATGTTTAGGAGGCCACTTCCGAAAACTATGGACAGTTTTTGTTTTTAGACTTAATGCATTTTCATGTCTATAAGAGTGCATGCGAATTTTAAACGAAAATTAACCGGATTTTCCCTTGCCATGAACACTATTAAGGAATGCTTACTTTGGAATGGCTGCCATGCAATTTATTTTAAGTCTTTTTTGTTGTTAATGTGGAATCCTTCACGTTAGACAACACCACGAGCCTTTGTCATGCGATAGAAGTGTACATTCTACCCACTGTCATTGTGCTTAAGCCCTATGGAATTGATATTGTTGGGCTTCGCGTCTCAGTCCACTACGAGGGCTTAAAGAGGAACGCTTACTAAAAGTTCAAAGTCGAGTATCTAATGCAAGGACGTGCATTTTTCGGCCTACACTTGTTGAAAAAGGGCATGTACTTTCTAAGGCTGAAACCAAAGGTCACACAATATTGTCGAATTCCATAAAGAACATGGTGAAGTGGTTCCCAATGCGTGGTTGATTAGCTAAGGCGGAGAAGTAATTGCCTCTTGATTTATGTGTCTGGAACACCGATAGCAGAGGCATTCATTGTAAAGTGAGCACGTGGTTTCAGTCTGGAGATGAACTGATGCTTTTGCAGTGCAAGCTCTACAGTTTGGTAGCAGTGGATGCTTCTTTTAAGACTGGACTAAAATAAACGTCTTCTGGTAGCTTCGTGCCCTGATTAGTACAAGTGAGGCGGTCATTACCCAAGAATGCCATTTGTTTGGGGCGAATCGTTTGGTATGGATCCAAAGCGCATGGCGTATGCTTGGCATAATTCTTCAACTGGCATTCCACAAGGAAATGGGAAACCCCTGTCTACCGGGGCACGTTTATTTTGGTGAAAGTGAAAGTGAATGGGAGAACTATTCAATGGCCTACAGTCGAAGAAGAAGAGTCGTCATTTGCGTTGATAGGGCAAACTTAGGAGTGCAAAAATTACTGTATTTTAACATAAACGATTAGAAAAGATGAAGTTATGTGGTCTTTCAGGTGAATATGTCGCAGCTCTGCGTACTTCTTTCTTTAAAGTCATCTACAGACTACCAGTCCAGTGATGGGATCCACTCGCCAATCATTTTTTCCGGAGACATAGCGGCATGATGGCTTGTGTAGAAACCACTTCTAAGTGATCAACTGTTCACCCAAATACCCACAGAAGTCTAGATTGTCCTTCTAAAAGATAAAATGGGTTCGTTTTTTTCATCTTTCGAAGTGAAAGGGTGCCACGCCAAGGGTTCCTCCCTAAACGGGTGGTAGCCACAGGCAACTTTTTTTGTCGAAGAGTACCATCGGCTTCGTAACATGTTTCCTTCCATTTGAAAAAACTGGATTTAATTTTTATTTACTAAATACAGGGTAGTGAGCTGCCTTACTTCTTATTGTAGGCTTTTACGGTCGTTCAGGTAAGGCTCTTTGACCTTAAATTCACCCCAACTTTGGAATGCCTTCTTTCTTGCTAAAGAATTGTCTAGTTGTATTTGATTTTTCTCTTCAAGTACTGTATATGCTGGTCTAGTTGGCTTGTATTTCAGGCATGAATCCTAGCAACTGGAAATTTAGCAATTTTACCTCTTAATGCTTGATTCAAATGAGGAATGAAGTTTTTTTTCACTACTTTAGTCCCGATATACTTCCGATGAATATGCCTCCTCGTTCAATTCAGGTGTGTTTTCTATTCATTCTCTCACCTACTTTGATACCAAAACAGACTGATGTGATCAGTTTTTGCCAACAGCAAGCATTCACCAACACCAGCGACCTAGAAGGCTGACGGATATAAATCTGGAGGTTCAAGACCTGCCCAAAGTTGCATCAAAGTATTCAGCGTTAGCACCTTCAGACTTAGTAGCAATAAGGTTCCATACATTGGTAATGCAATAAATATTTGTGATTGTTGTTATTGAAGCCATAAAATACTTCCAACAAGTGCATCAAAAGGTACAAGTTGTCACGGGGACAGTTCCTACGATACCCAATAAACAGGCACTTAGTCTTCTTAATTTGCTTTGATCTTGTCAGATTTTGGCTATAACCTCATATTTCAAACGAGTCCCTATCTCTATCCAAGCCTTTGTCGTCGAGACTCGTTATTCCACTGCCTACTGCCTCAAAGAATCACTGCCTTAAAAAAGCATCGTCGAAGGAAACGCCATAGCTTTTGGAATTAATTTTTATTCATCTGAATTGACCGAAACAACGCTTTTTGAGTTTTCAGAAGATGAGGACACGTGTGCGGACGTCAAATGCACTGTGGGAGAGTACTGCAAGGAGGGGAAGTGTCACTGCTACGACTTCTGTCCCTCTGACTGGTTGATTCATCAGAGCAAGGTGAGCGAACACTTCGTTATGCCTTCTTCGAAATCATGGATTTCATCCCGCCAAATGTGTCCATGGATTCAACCTCACTTACAGCTGCAGTGCTTTAGACTGATCCCTCAATCATTTTAGTTGGCGGTGGACGAGATTGCAGTGGGGAATACCGTAGAGATGGAAATGCCAAAATCTTCCGCACTATTGACTGAAAGACTTTATTTCTGAAATAACCCGTATCAAAGTGTAGGCGGATTAGATAAACCTGACGTCTAGTCTCCATTTCAACACATCACCCGCCTTCGACTGACACCTCCAGCTGACGCTTTACCTTCTGAAAAATCAAGCTTTTGATAGCTAAAAACACCACCTGTCTAAATTCGAGGGTAAATGTTGTCTTTTTATCCATATTTTGGTCAAATTTCGGCAAATTTGTGAGCTGCACTTCAAACGAGGATTCGACTGAATTTGATGGAACTTCTTATACATGTGGATAGATCGACATTTTGAAGGAGCACCCACTGGTGCTCTATTCGTCTCTTAAATGGTCCGTGAACTTGACTAAGACCTCCTCTGGTTAGGGATTCAAAGGGGGGGTGATGATTTTAACAGAAGAAGGTAAATTAGCAGTATGGTCGGATAAATTTTTTGGCCTAGAAAATAACTTCAATTTTTTAGGCAACTTTACCTTCACGAGACACTTTACCAAAGTTGTTGTAGCACTCAGAGACTTCTCTGAAGACGAAAGGAGACGTAATGATCGGCAGAATATGTATTATTGGCGTACAGGAAGACTTAGTGGGGGATACTGGCATAGATTGGAGGCCGGGCCAATGGCCCTCTACTAAAACCAAGGGTTAAACAGACAACCAACGTATTACAGTACCAGGCTTGAAAAGCATAATAGGCGTATTACATAACCCCTCTCCTCTCTTGAATGCCGTTCCCGGTGCTCCCCTTGGTCAACCTCTTACGACAGCCATCGCAACGTAATTAGTGTTGTAAGGAAACAAACCAACCAACCGCGCCAGTCATCGAATTTGCGTTCAACTGATCTGGTCGTTCTTGGCAATTTTACTGCATATGAAGTTTCGTCCTCTATGGGAACTGTATTGGGAGAAAGGAGAATGGGTTGGCCATCATGCGCGTCCATCGTTAGTCATCCATTCCTTCTTGCCACTTTTTCTTATTTCAGTGCTGCTCAGCCATATTTTTCTCGGCTCAATCCAGCTAGCAGAGGCGTGAAGAAGGTATCACGTGTTCACATAAGTGACATTTTCATACAGGAACGGTATACAGCTCCTCAACAAACTTTTCTAGAAGGTTCAAGGCTGGTGTCGCCTCAGTTGTTAATAGCTCTCCTTCAGACCACGGGACTGGGGTGAACGCTGGAGGTGGTCATTTTCAACGCCTTTGTTAGGGGTCGTCACGTATCCTCCCATTTGCAGCAAACGCCTTTCTTTCGCTCCGTCAGGATTGATCATCCACCAGTAGAAATCAGGATAGGTGCCCTTTGAGATCGGGTTTGCTTTCCACTACCATCAAAGCAGCGCCTCGAGACTGCATTACCGACGTATAGGAGGGCTTAGGGAAAGGAAGGGGGCTACCAGCATAGCTTGGAAGCCAGGCCTTCTGATAAAGGTACAATAGCAAAGTTAAACAGACAACCAACGTATTGCATCGCCTTCATGAAGTACCAAGTGCTTGCAGCGCATGCTTTTTAAAATCCCCTAGACTCGAAATGGCAACCAAGATGTTTGAAATGTAGTCAAGGAAAAAAGAAAGTTCTTCACTGCAAATACAGAACTTCTGGAATGGCATTCATATTACTTTTTATTAAGTAGGTGCATGATTGAAATATGAGCGGTAAGCGTCGTTACCCAATACGTAAAGCCATCTCTCCTTAGCTTATCCGAAGTCTTCTTTAGTAACTCAAATAATAATCTCTGTCAACAGTTTTAGTGACAGAGATTGCTTATTATTTGAGAGGATGTGTACTGACATGAGTAAGGGTGATGAGGAGGAACCAAAAGCGGTGCTTTTTAAGTGAATGAATGACCATACTGGTGTGGCTTGCAGATCTGTGTGGACGGCTACACGTACAGCCACACGTGTGACCTCTACCGCAACATCTGCTACTGCCGCGAGGGCGATCCGCGTTGTGGCGACGAGCGCTACTTCAACGGCCACCGAGCGGACAGCGACTCCATTATCCGCTACTTTGCCGAATGCCAAGGTAAGTTTTTTTCGCTCTGCCACTCCTTCCCACAGCTTCCTCCTTCTTGAACTTCTTCACGCCTATCTTTATGCTGCAGAGCTTACCACCAAGTGCAACTGGGCCGTGCAGCGACGCTACTTTAGGTACCAATTCATTTTGTGGCTCCAACAGCTTCTGCGCTCAAGGGTAAGTGAGAAGGTGGCACGCTTACCTTGTGTCTTTTTTGCCATCGCAAATAATATGATTTGTAAAAGTAAACAAGCTTCGAGACTGGTTTTAAATGGTTTCCATGTAGTGTTGTAATACAACTACGCTCAACGGTAGGATTCTATCATTTGAAATGCAACGAAGTCGACTTATCAAGTTAAATTTGAATTCAAGACACTTTGCATTAATTTGTTCTTGCAGTCAATTCTGTGACTACATTTCGTCAGCAAAGAGCTGGACTTTTGACCTTTAAGGTGCAAAATTCTGTAGGAATGTTAAATTTTGAACTGTTGGGATTCCGATCCATTTCAGCTTATAACTCGGGAGCTAAGTAGATTGAATTTGATTGTGGAAGGAGATTATGAGGGTGAAGGACTCTTCACACACAATTCACCACAACACCGCTAATTAGGGCCTACATCAGGTCATAACATGTTTTGGGCATCCCCGGTTAAATAAGGCAGTTTTCGGTTCTTCAATCATGACCACGTTGCACCTGGGTAGTTTATACCGAATTCCGTGTGCGCAGAGGGTCGCTATTCCGCCCTTCTCGTGTACAAACACCTCTAGTACCTAAATATTGCCAGTTTTCTTCCACTTTATGGCGAGACACTTTATGGTTTATTGGTGACCACCTAAATTATCATCGTAAATTTGGCTTGTTTTGCAATGAGCCCGTAAATGGTATTTTGTGTGAACGAAAATTGAATGACCTACAGTGCTGTTGTTTTTGTTCGTCGTATACTCTTTCACGAGATTGAATGCGCGTGGTGACTTGGAGCCACCGTGGCAAAGTTGCCACGCGTACAAAGTGAACGCCAAAAGTGTGTGGACTGTGCAACTTTTTTGAAAATATTTGCACAATTGCTAACATTTCCAAGTAACGGTTAATTCTGACCGCTTTAGCAGGCAGACCTCTCCAATGCCGAATGAGTTCTTCCGGCCAATTTTTACTGCTTCATCTAATTTCTCCATAAGCTAGCATTAGTTTAGGTGATGGGTACTAGTGTAGCGTCCCGGGACTCCATGAAGACGAAAGAAGACACAATACTCGGGCAGTATATATATATTCAGCACAGAGAAGGTGTCTGGGCTATTGGCATGGCCCAAAAGGCCAGCCCACCCAGCGAGGTACAAGGGGGCTAATTCGAAGTACAAAAAGTGGCGCCTCACCAGAACCGAGGGATAAACCACTATTGTATTACACTAGTACTTCATAAAATTGTCTCTTAGAGGATGTGCGGTGTCTTGTTTGACTACCACAAATAGCAGCAATTTTCTCCTGCAATTAGTTCCATAAAAGGCAAAGCTATTTTTAAAACAGTTGTCTCCCATTATGATGCGCTTCTTTAGAATGTTGATTCAATCTTTCAAGCAAGTTTTATAGGCGTGTTTGGTAAGCTTCCTCGGAAGTAGCGTAGGGGTGCCTGCAGAGTACCGGGAACGATTCATCTAGCATCCGCGTCTGCAAGTTGTAGATTGTAGTGAAATTGCATTGTGGGACGATGCGGACATTACCGGGCTGAAGGTGAAACGGATTCTAGGAAACCAATTTGCTTTTAGGCTTTTCAGCAAAAAAGGATCCATTTATTGGTCACGGTTGTTACTTTATCGTTCAACTGCTAGCTCTCTCATGACGCGGTGCTAAACCGAGCGCCTCCATTCCCGACCCCTTGCAACACCAAACCTGTTTGCACTGTTAAATTTGGATTTGAAGTTTAAAAATGGAAGTAAACAGTGATCACTTGCAGAGCTATGACCACGAAGATAAATTTCGGTAGAGCGGGAGGAGTTCATACACACTTTTTCATGCGATCTTACCTCCGGAGCAGGTTTTAAACTATTAATGACAACTTCAAAGGTATAATTCAATTCGATATATCTGACAAAGTTCTTATTTTAGCTGCCCACGTATCAGCTAGTTTTTTTTCAGACCATCATCGTGAGATAGTATTAGAAATAAAAATAAGATGGTGAGTTTCGAGAGGAGAGGGAGAAATATAGATTAGGTAGCTCTTAGTTATCGTTTCCTGTTGGACAGAGCTACGGTACAGATCCGCGCAACGTGCTTCTACGTCCACGATCGGAGCACGACTGGCTGGCGCTGGACAGCCTCCTGGCCAAGCACATCGGTCGCAATGGCGAGAACGCTGGACCACTTCTCAGCTTTGTCTTCTGCGAACTCGATGTCGATAAGAATGGGTAGGTTAGACGAAACCTTTTTCCCTCCTGCCACCTCTGCTCCTCCTTCTCCTTCTCAAGTCTCTTGCTGCGGCCCATTATTGTGTGTCCAACAGCACAATTTAAGCTCTGCACTGAAACGCAAAACCAAATCTCAATTTTTACCTCTCATGGTAGAATGATTGAGGAGAGGGAGTTGGCAATGCTGACACAGGTCGCTCTGCCGACACTGGCGTGTCTGGAGATCTTCCTCGGGAATTGCATCAGCGGTCGAACAATTAGTCGCGATACTTGGTTCAACTGCTTCGAGATTGATTCGCGTGAGCTCCAGCTTTGCTACTTTCAATAACGACTCGCCGGAACTCGTCTGTGAAGCCCACCTTAGTGCGATTATTTTGATATAATTTCGCTATCCTTCTTGAATGCACCATCGTTTTCGTTTGCATTTAATGACATTTCGGTTAGAATATGAAGAATTTGAAGTTATTTTGCACTACATAGGTACATAACCTTCACATGCTGCGACGATAAGTCGTCCACTGTTCCCGAAGCCTTAATAATGACCAGATCTTGGATATGTAGCATCTACAGAATGCAATCTTGCTACGAGACGTTAAAAGGTCTTTAAACGTAGCGAATTTATTGTCGACTGAGTAATTACTGTGTGAAAATGAAAGTCACCGCCCAGTATCTCATTACAGGTGATACGATGTTGTGCTCCAACTTTGTTTAACAGATCCACTGGATGCGTGCACAGCCTCTCCTTTTCTGATCCCTAAGACTTTTTCTCGATGTATGTCTCCTCTCCCTCTCTCCATTCACCTTTCTCGCTGGCTCTCCTTCCTTACTCCTTACTCATTCATCTATAGTCTCCCGTGGCTTCATAATAAATGAATAAATGAGAAATGACACTTTTTGCCCACTGTCACCTTTTGTCTAATTCTTTTTGGTGCAGAGGGTTAGTATTTTCAGAAATGGAAGCCTTGGTGATGGGGGCATATTTAAGTGTCAAATTTATTAAAGGGTATCCTTCGATTTTGTAAAAGAAATAATGGGGTCATTGTTGAATGAAATTGTACTTGCACTTATAAGTAATGAAAGTGGAGGCAATATTTTTTCCGAGCGTTTTGCGACCGCCATCAAGGCATCTTAGAAATACAATCAGGAGAATACCAACATCAATCCATGAAAGTGTGTCCAGTGAATGGAAACGAGATTCACCAACGGTCAAGAGGAAAAGGAAGGCAGAACTATCATTCTGTTAGCTCAAACCTTCTTCTCTGTATGCTGTTTCGATGTCAGCAAGTGGTACTTTCACTGCTAAGAAATGTAGACTAGAGTTAGAGAACGTATAATAAGGCATTAAAATATGATTAAAGGTACGATTAGATGGGAGCGTGATGGTCTGAATGGCACTTTTGAATGCGCGAATCAGTAAAAGGTATGTCCCAGAATTTGATTTTAGTCAATAAACAATTTATACAGGTTACTGGCTGGGGTGTTGGAAGCCTTCTGGAATACCACATCACAAGGTTGTGCTACTGGCTTCCAGAAACTTCGTAACTCAACATGCTTACTTAAATGAGTTAAGTAGCATTAAATTCTGTATAATTAGCCTTTTATAATGCTACAAGAATTGCCAAAACCCACGATATAATAAGTTTTTACGTGATCGTACACGTTAAACCTTTTTCGTTGTGATTAGCAATAAATCACCAGGTTTTTTTAAACCTATAGTTATTCTTAGGCCGCGTCAACTTGAAAAGACAGAGCAAACACGAAAAGGAATAGGTGCGCTGCTTCAAAGTTTTTCGCTTCCATGACCGGGTTGAGTTGGCATTTTTATTGATGAAATAAAACGATCATTTCGGTTTCCTTTAAAACATGGAGCATTTCCGCTTATGTTGTGATTTGTTACTACATATGGCTAAATTTGCTAGCACCTTATAGATTGGTGACTTGTTTTTCAAGCAAAACACAGTCCACGGGGGACAGATAAATAGGAATTTGTTTTCCAAAATAAAAACATGGTAACTTCTGCAATCTAGTACGATCCTACGAAATCGAATTTGAATTATTTTTGAATCTCACAATCTGTAGAAAAGAATGATTTAAGAGTGTTCAAAAACTATTTTAAATTGCCAGTAGTTACATGTGTCATGGAAATTCTACACTTTTAAGTTAAACAGTACCGTAGTGGGGTAAGAAATAATTGATGGTATTTAAAATGGTGCTTCTGTGCTTCCCTCTTCTTAACTATTCGTTTTCTATGGGATCAAGCTGAGTGCAATATCTTTGTCCCTCTTTGCCCATTTTCTCTTGTCTGACTCCTCTCCATGTCCAAACCCTAAACGAAGTGCGCAAAAGTGATGGGCAGCAGTCCTGCCACCTTTGATGCAGTCCCTCTCCACTCCGATGGAGGATTTTTCCAGGCCAAATAAACCTCTCTCATGGGCCGTTTTCAGTTGCATGTGCAAATATGTCAGCATATCGGGCGGCGACTCTGAGAAATGCTTTTTTTGGAACAGATCAAAGAAAATTATTCAGGACCAAATTGACAATGCGGGCAACAGAACAAAGGGGAGCAGGCACGACATGCTGAGTGAACGCTTCCTGGTTCTTCTCACTCTCCCCCTCTGTCCTCTTTTCTTTACATTCTTGTGAGGGGATAGAGAGTGTATCCTTTTATTCATTTTCTCTCTCCTTTAACTTTGGAGTTAAAGGGAGAGAGAGAGAGAGTTGAAGCAGCTATCGCTAGGCGGTATCGGCGCGTCCCGCCCTACTGTATCACCTTCCGACAAAAGAGGAAGAAGAAGAAGAAGAAATCTGTTTTATTATCTATCTTTACTTCCATGCAGACGTAGCGCTCTTTTTATTAATGGAATAGAAAAAGCTGAGATACTGATGAATCCTATTATTTGACAGAATTTATTCAGCTACCAGTGAATGGCGGTTGAGGTAACAAGACATCTGTGAAATCTGCAATCATCAAATATACGGCAGAAATTAAAGAAAATACTTGACAAGAGGCAAGACAAATTGATTTGAATTTGCTCTAGTTATACCAGGTTTTTCTTCATATGAGGTGTGTTTAAAAAATTTGCGGGCATTGGCAGTATTGGGGAGGAAAAAGGGTGTCAAGTGCCCTGCCACTACCACCGTCACCTTGACAGCAGCACTTTATGAGCGATAAATTTCTGTTCCCATAAGCAAGCTAACAGCTTTTAGATGAGCTTTTTGAATAGACGGAAGAAGAAAAAACGACAAACACCACCGATTGTATGCTGTGAGAAAGAAAGGAATCAGCCTAATTGAATGCCTCTCCGGCGCTCCGCCCTTTCCCCTCCTTGGAAAAAGGCGACTCTGCTTGAGCATAGCACGGTGATTTTATCACCGGCTGTTCACATTTAGGTTAAAAAATAAGTCTCCAATAGACTCCATTATCTAGGTAAGAAAAAGAGGGAAGTTAAAACCGTATTTTCTTGTTGTTACACCATTTATCACGACATCGTAAATCGGATATCGCAAAGGTGTAATGAAGACTGGAGTGTCGTATTTGTACCTCCTTGATTTGTTCATAGGCAGAAATGATTTAAAACTATCCTATCTTGGTTCTTGCTCGATTTCTAACCTGTCCGTCATGTTATTTTAAGGCCGTACGCCGCTCATTAACCGAATTGTGATTAATAATAGTCAAAATTTCACTCTGACATTGAAAAATTGCACCCATTGTGTCAAAGACTGTTTCATGGGACTAGCGAAACGTGTAAATCAAATGCGAGGATTGATGATTCAGTTGTTTGAAGTGACTTGCACCCTTTACATATGATAAACGCCCTTGATGTGGGATGGCCGTCCACCCGACCGATGGACCGAACGACCGCCTCTCGGTTTTTGCCCCATCAAAGCATGAATCAACCCCATCCAACCCATTCCGCCTTTGTGCAAAAGCCTCGCGGACTAGGCAGTGTCGTGACGCGGATATACCCTCATCACCGCCGCCCTGCCGACGTCGCCGCCTTTATGAAATCCCGCCTCCACCACTTCGGCATTACGCATGCACGCAGTCGTGTTGGGCTTGTCACACGTCGTGCTTGTGGGCGCGGTGGTTGATTATCTTTTTACAGACAAATTATGCACGTTTTTGCACGGCTCTGATAAGCTTGAGTGGATTAGGCTATCCATTCCTCGCAGAGCTCTCTTTCATGCCCAGTTACCAACACTCATGAAATGGAGGTGGCGGTAGAAGTGTAACCGCGTTTTGTGCATGAAAGGTTGTGGCGTCATTTGGTTTCAGGGACTAAAATGGGCTTTCATATGATTTGTGAATCACACCAATCCGCATCCCACAAAGCGTTTTAGACCGCACTGCGGTTAAGGCCACAACTGATTAAGTACCTAACATCCACTCCCTTTGGATATCCCATTTGATCAAATCGCCTTACGGACGTCCATATTTCTTTCTAACATCCTACAAGGATCCACTTATGAATATTAATAGCAATTCTTTTAGTTCCTAAGCGCCGTCGCTAAGGCGGTGGATGCTTGCAAAGGACCCTATCCCTGTGTCGTGCACAAAAAAGCCAGTCTCTTTCTATTTGCCATGCCGCAGACACTTAGCTCAAAAGTGCCACCGCACGCAAAGCAATGAGGGAAAATGTTTGCGAATTCGCCTTTGTGTACAAAGAAACGTCCCCATCGTCACAGTTAAGGGGGGTAGTCTGTGAAAGTCCCCTACGAAACACAGGCCCCGACTAGGCTAAAGGCGCTGAGTATGATCAAGAGGGAGAAAAAAAGAGGATTTTGAACCGAAGAAGGAGAATATATATATCTAGATATTTATTCTGTAATAAACGAATTGTGCGGGAGGAGTATGGAAGGAAGCGTTGCGGCAATGTAGCTATGATTTGTCAGTCCAAGCGGACAATCGGCTATTAAGTCGGAGCTGGATAGGTCTGCAGTCAGAGTGGAAGCGTCACGTGATTATAGGCCCCAACAACGCTTACATCTAGTTGCCAATCCTTTGATTGAATAAAACTAGGAAAGAGATTCGATGGTAGGTAGGAAATAATGCCCAATCCGCACTTAACTGAGTATCAGCGCCTACTATCAGCAGATTTTCAATTGATTTCAGTGAGAATATCCCATTGCAAATTCAAAACGAGGGCAACTGGAACTGTGCTTGAGACTGGAGCCAAAATGCAGCGATTAACGCTGCGAGAGCTAAGCCCTCCTGGATCGGTCAGTGACTCGCATATCCAGGGCAGTTTTACTCTCCCTTCCACGGGGGCAACATTTCACTGCTTACGTGTATTAGCAGCCCGCGGAGGTGCCTCTGCCTGCCAGCAAAAGATGCACGACCGAGGCAGTGAATGACTGGTAGCGTCATGAAACTTTAAAGTGGTGCTTTAAAATTGGGGTGGTCAAAAAGTAAAGAAGAAAGGGCACATCAAAAGAGAGGAGGAAAGTGGTGAGGCGCAGCTCACTCTCCGCTCTACCCTCTCATGTTTCCACTCTGCATTGTTAAAGCGCAGTAGATAATCACGTCGAGGTGTATATACAAGTCTGTATTTGGAAGAGTTATAAAGAAAAGATGGAGTGAGGTGGGGTCCCATCAAAATGATTTATGAAGATTGAAGTATTGCACCTGTCCTTCGTAATCTTGTACTCTTAGAGGCAATTAAAAGTCGGGCATGACCAAGCCTATCTCAGGTATCACCTCTGGATTGCGGTGGCATGCAAAGGAGAAGAATAACATTGGTAGGGTTAAAGGGTGACTGATGACCCTAGGGCTGCGATCAAACGGCATCCAATGCCAAATGTGCCCTATAAATAAGTACAAAGCAGAGCCGACGCCAACCATGCAATGGGTGTGGAATTTTTTAAGATCTGGATAAGGTGCCTTAATAATACAACACAACAATTGTTCATCTAACTCCGCCACTATGTCTCCATCACCGGCTTGGCCTCTGGGCCATGCCAGTAGCCTCCACAACCTCTCCTATATGTCAACGCTAAGTATTCTTTCCTCTTCAGGGCAGTCTCGGGGCGCAACATTAACTTATTACCTCATTCGTTCACTTATCTATCAACCTGGTCATCTGTTTAATCTTTTATTGATGCATTCAATCTTTTATTGCTTCTAGAAATGATAAAATACTGCATGTTTTTCTTTCTTCCCAAGTATTTCCACTAGCCGTGCCAAATAGGCGCTTTCAAGGCACTTTTTACTGCAAACACTCGTTTGAACCTATTAATGAAAGTAAAGACGAGGGAGCGGCCATCGTTTCCGTTCAGGTACCTTCTTCTGAGTAGAATAGTCAAAAGGCTTGTAAAAGCATGATTAAATTTCAGTGGTAATAACAACATCTGCTGTTTAAAAAACGCCAAAAGTGTTTATGTGTTGAAACCGGACACCCACCGAAGGCTGTGAACGGGCTTGAGTGTCTATTTAGTGAGTGTATTTAAATGCAAACTGCAGTGGACTTAAACCCCTTTGCCCTTCTCCTGACCTTTAACGGGAATTGTTGTAAACTAGCCAAGTCTTAATTTTTAAACGCAAGTAGGTGGGTTGATGTAATAGTAGGGCTTTGTGTATGTTACGTTACAACGTGTAAGTTGTCACGCCAAAGGCGTTGTAAAATGTTGGTTGTTTGTTTAACTGCCGGTTTTTGAAACGGGCCACTCAGGGGCTCCGTCTCTGTACCTTGCCGGGCGATCTGGCACTCAGGCAGTGCTAGTAGCCCCACGCCCTATAGTACGTTGATAACACATATTCTGGACAAGTACCAGGTCTTCCCTCGTCTCCAGAGGGGTCTCCAGGTGCTACACCATGCACGCAGTGGGACGGTGGGATGCTACAGAATGATACTTTGATTCGTCCGTCTTAAAGCCAGATACAAGCATATGTTTTTAAACAGTGGACCCCAAGAACAGGTGAAGACGGGAGGGCAGCGACCGCCGATGGTGCAGGACTTTAGCAATTGCATGCTGACGATGAGGTGACGCTATATTACCACAGCCCGTGAGACAAATAACAGCCGAGCATACCATTAATTATTTTGAAAATGAAGAATATTTCTAATCCTGAAATGTTAGCAGTCCGAGTAATTTACTGGAAAAGCGCGTCTTAAAAGTTAGCAATGCCAGACTACTGCATCTCCTTGGCCCTTTAAAGGTTAAAATGTATTGCATAATGGTATGAAAATTTTGAAATGGTGCTTGGGTTGCAGCTCAACTTGACATAATATTTGGGGCGGAATATGTACTGTCGACGTGGGGAAGGGACTGCAGGGACTACTGGCATGGCCTGGAAGCCAACCCATCCCGCGAAGTTACAATGTCCGAACACTTAAGTGGCCCGCTTACCAAAGCCGAGAGCCAAATATGCAATCAACGTATTATAAAATATCATTTTTTTGGTTTTTCAAAAGCGTGTAATAAAACTGTTTGCAAAAACCAGTGAAGAGCCAGTTTTTATAATTGCTATTGTGATGGCTTAGGGCCGATGCATCCATCCTTCTCGTGTCCAAATTTTTTAAGTCTTGCCTTTTTACTACACATGCGAAAAGCAACTCCTTTTACTGCGTCATTCCGACTCACCCGACATCAATCACAAGGATTTGTGACAATTAAAGGCTACTGCAATTTGTGATTGCCGCCTTCATACGGAGGTCAAAAGTAGAAATAAGTTGCCCTCTTCACAGCCCAATGATAGAACATGCAACGGAGGATCCTGCTTAGGATGATGTCTGCCTAATTAAAGGCAACATTTGTCGAAGTCTCGCCCACACTGAGAAATATGAAGAAAATTGCAAAGACTCCTAGACTAAAGTCGAGCTAACCAATTATTTGCACCATCATTATCCTACACAAAGAAACATTCTTATGTTAGCATGATAGAATGAAATCACAACCCCCCGGGACATCCCTTAAGACAAGAGGAGACATAATACTCAAGCAGAATTTGTATTGTCGATGCAAAGAGGGGCTGAGAGGCTACTGGCCTAGCAGAAGTAACAATTTCGGAGCCCTAGGTGCCCCGAAACTAAAACGAGGCGTTACTTACACAATTAAAGTATTACTTAAATAAATGTCATTTGTTATCGGTCTGCTCACACTCTCTACTGGTTCCATGAGCCCTGCCGCCATCGGGATAGTTGAGGTTGAAACATCGGAAATGTTGGATGTTCGGGATGTGAAGAAAGCAACACTTTTTAGCTGTCGAGCAGCACTGAGATAATTAAAACATGCCCTGTGAGTTGTGGTGGTGGTCGGTTTTCCTCCGAGGTCATGGTATCAAATGTGTTGAAGCAAGAGTACGTTACACCTTTTGGAGGGCTTTACGTCAAGCCTCAGCGACAGGACAAAATCTACAAAGTCACATACCCAACCCCTGATACTGCGCTTAGCTGTTTTGACAACAAAATCCAGCGAAAAAAACTGTTTAACTGGTCAGTAGGAAGTCAAAAGGTAAAGCTGATCATCTAATTCTATTGAGATACTCAAACGTAGTGTAAATTGTCTTTGACTAGGCGATAGGACAAATAAAAAGGAGGGTACAATTTGTGTCAATCTCGAGTTGAAGGATGTCACTCCTTTTTATGTTTAGTGGTTTTGGCATACTCACACACAGGAACTCAAAAGCACCGAAATTGAGGTGACGTACATCTTCAAAAGTCCGCCTTCTCCGCCTCCTCATCCGCCATGGTGCTGTTGTTGTTGCCATCGCCTTTGTAATAAGCTGCCGGCGAGCGCACGCACGCACGACTGCCTCCTTCGGTGGGAGAGATCAAAGGCACCTCTGCATCATCGGACCATGAAAATGGCTTGTGTGGGTGTTAATGTAGCCTACATTACACTACAATGCGCCTAAGTAACTGCTCTACAAACTCACATACCCATAATTTATGGAAAGCGCACTAACCTAATAGCATGGCAGTGGGCATAATTAAGAAATATGGCCCAAAGGAGCACCCGAATCAAAAGTCTCCCTCCCCCCCCCTGCTATTTGTGGTTTATGGTTAAATCCAGTCACTTTGAAGTCTCCTTTAGACTGCAGTCCTCGCCACTGATTTACCGCCAATACTTTTTTGCCTCCCATGTTTTATCCAAACCTCCACCAAAGCGCAGTGTTTTTTGGGCCAGAAGCGTACCATTTCCCCACGCCCATACATTTCCCACCCCACGCACACACACTCCAAGGCGGGGTTCGGTAAACACGAACCACAGCGACGTTAATTGAAGCAGTCGGCGGCACATATTTTGTACATTCAGGTACACACTAGCCTTCCTCGCTCTCTTCTGCCGTGATTTTATGTAAGCGGACAGAGGACTAGTTAGATAGCCCTTGTGTCATCCCCCTGTTTTTATTACAAGGGCAATAAAAAAGGCAGTAATCCGCTAATTTTTCATCTGAATTGCACAGTTGATAGAATAGCCTTATTTAGAGTAAATTTTTACGTTGAATCTAGTTTCACAATCCTTTTGGCAAAGTTTTATACTCCACCCCACTCATATACGGTTGCCCAAGTTTATTTATCCGCGGCTTCTTTCCCAGCGAGATGCTCTCTGACTGAATGCTGCCTTGATTAAAAGAGACGTGTCCGGGTTTGGGGCTCACTACGCCTAATTCGCACGTGCAAAGAAGTGCCTCCCATCGCAGTAACTTAACTCAACGCCTTGCCAATCGGTCCCATCAAAGTGAGGACTTGGGCACACCCACACACGCGGACGAGCAGGGGGTCGGCGATTCTCAGAGGCAGTGGAAAGCGCATTAAAACTGGCATACATTCACCCTCGCTATCTACTGGTGGTGTAAAACACCCAACAACTGCATTTATTCATTTTCTTCACTTTATGGTTATGTGTGCTTGTATTGCAACCATTCGACGCACAAGGAGACTGTCCGGATTCGTAAAAGGCGTTGCATAGGGGACGTGGGCTGGGCTAAGCTACTTGGGCCTCAGCAGTAGATAGTCGAGGAGGAGGCGAGATAGTGGCAGCTTAATTGCACCTTACTTCCCTACCAGCAAAACCATCCGGATTCGAGTATGCGAAGTGAAGGTGGCACCCTCTTTCCATCCACTCTACATTCTGCGAGGTCAGTACAATAAGTATTTCCCAGTCAGAATGACACTCCTTGTCATCCCTTCTGTTGAAGGCTAAAATTCATGCCAACTCATGCAATATTTCTGCCTAATGATAAAGATTACTTTGGTATAGGTCTCACCTGACCCAGCTAGCCACCTTTGTTGCCTGTATTCAGGTAAGATCACATTGAGAGGTAAACATTCCAGCCACTCAATATTAAAATGCAAGGTAAATACTGTACAGGATAAATAATGTATTAAAAGATAACAATTTACATAAGTTGAGTAATTTACGCAAGAATGTGTCTCTTAGCATGCTATTTAACCCGCTGGTAGCCGATGTCACATATACGTGACGCGTGCCCTTCACCAGTTTATAGTGGCTTTTGGTAGCATCAACCCATAACTCAAGCAAACTGCCTAAATTTAAACGCACTAGGCAGATTAAAGATCTTTTACTGACATTAATTATTACAATTTTTGGTTTTTCAAGAGCATTACTTTGATGTTCAATTTTCCTCCTCGGTCCTGGTGTCGGACGTACTAGCTTAATTAATTTCAGTCTTGCTTTTCCATTTGGAAAAGACCGCTACAAGGCCAACCTAACTGGCCAATTGTGGAGAACGCGAGTTTCCCCGAAACGGGAAACAGGAAGTTCATCGGCTTCAAAGTGGCTGAAATTTGGGCTAACATGAAAGCATCGCAGACCCACCCTTCATATGGCATGTTATTTTATTGTCATAAGCATGAATTTTACCACACCAAATTCATTCATGTTTAGTTTTACGGGGGGAGGAGTTGACAATTTCCTTCTTTGTGGTGGGAAACCAGGTCACGGAACCTTACCAAATTCATTTTTGTTCGGTTAAATCAACTGCACGTTATCTTATCCATGTCTGATACTGTATCCGATTGTAAAGTATCCGCTACAGCAACTCCTTTTTGGCCGTGAAGCGGTGGCGACAGCATCGGAGGCGGCGGCGGCGGCGGCGGTGGGGGGGGGGGGGGCAACATGAGTTTGAGTGCTCCCCCTAGGTGGTTAGCTTTGTTTTAATGCTCTGGTAGCAGATTTTTTTCTACATGTGCGCATTGAAGTTTGTTGCCACCACGGCCTAACGACTAGCATTGCAATTGTTGTGTGTGTGTACGGGTGCGGTATCTTCAAAAGGAAGACTTTCGAAGATAAGAGGGTAATCAACGGGGAAAAGGCGGGGGATAAACATATGTAATAAAGCAGTTTGATTTCCTAATGACCCATTATTACACCCTTTCCTTTGTGATGGATTTAAGACCTCCAGTCAATCATGCGAAACGTCCCAGTAGACCGCCCAAAAGGTTCATCAACAAAGACCCACGTGCTGCACCTTCTATCACTGAGCCTAGAACCTGCTCCTGCCAATAACTGTAGGACGTGTCTGTTTCCAGTCCAGTAAAGCTCACTGGCAGTCAGATGCTGCGGTAATGCGACTCTACGCAGTATTCGTTTACATGCCTTACACAAGTCGATGTGACCACTATTGTGGATTTTTTTTACTTCTTCTGGAAGACTTTTGAGGTGCTATTGTTGCCACTGGAAGACGACGATCTATTTCAGCTCAAACTTATGTATATTTTTCCAGTGAACAGTCATAGCTTATTATTTTTCGGAATACAATTAAGTATCCATTATTTATTTGGGGTTCTGGCCAGCTGGTAGAGTGGTAGACGAGGCATCCCGTGTTCACCTCATTGACACCATCGTAGAGTTATCATATACAGCCCCGTAACGAGAGTTTCAAGGTATTCCACGAGTGGTGCCACTTCCATCCTCAAGAGCTTTCCTGGCGAACACTGGACTGGAGTAGTTACCGAAGGTAGACATCATTTACAACCCTTCTGTTAGGAGTAGTCACAGATTCTCCCAAAGGTAGCATATGGGTTTCTTCCGCCCCACTAAGGTTTACCACCCAACGGTAAAAGTCGGAATAGTTGGCTTTTAAGATCGAATTTCGCTTTCCTGTGCCACAAATTTAGCACGAAAAAAACGGCATAATACTGAGATAAAAAACCTACTTTTAATCTATAGAAGAGCTGAGAGGCCAATGGCACGGCCCGGACGCCATGCCACCTTGGAGAGGTGCAATGGCGGAGGCCTCAGTTACCCATTACCAAAACTGAGAGTTAAACAAACAAGTAAAGTCTTGCATAATAAACTGATTTAAGCCCCAGAACCAAATATTAACTCAATCACATCTTTGGGGTTCATCCGCCTGTTTGCAGGACTCCACTTCGAGCACATGCCAAGACCATGTCAGGTCTGAAAGACGGCTCTACGTACATGAGAGCGATGTGTAATCAGGCAAGACAGTAGGCTTGCAACAGAGAGAAGACATTTGGCACTCACTTAAGGTGGTCCCCGTCTCTTTTACTTTGCCTTCACTGAAGTTTTGCCAACAGGAGCACTTTCGCCGTGTGAAGTTAATTGTGTGATGTCCGCACGGCTCGAATGCGGTTGTCTGCCATAAGGAGCTTTATTGTGCAGACAATGTCTCATGTTCTAGTCGCAATGACAGATGGTCTAGGAGCCCCGTCACATGCGCCCTAGCATGTCCATATTTGGCCCATAGAATGGTTACAGGACTTTAAGCTAAATATATGCCGTGTCTAACTTATTCTTGAAGATGCCATTAGGCATATCAGTTCAGAAGCAGCGCTGTTACAGGTCCACAAAAGGCCTGGAAGGCTGGTAGCCTAACTGACATGGGTGGAGTACCATGCCACCAGCAGGGTAGCCCCTGAGAGGAAGAATTACAGGGTATGTACAGTTAATACGCTCGCTTTCAGAGACCCAGAGAAAATTTAGTCGCAGGAAACCCATCACTCCTAATTTGCTTTTTTACCCCACGAAAATTTTCTTTTAAATAAATATGCCAAATATTTGCTGTGTGCTGGCTCGGGCATGGAAGCCGGAGCGTCACATATTTGTGACAGTGGTAGTCAATGTGTTAAACACGTGCTTGAGGTAAATATCGCCTCACAGATGGAGGTTAGCAAAAATTAAAAAAATCTGCCCATGAAGAACAACTAGACATAATGAACATAGTCTTGGTAACGGCTCTAAATAAATTTTGGTGGTATGGGGCTAAGTAGACCATTTCAGGATACGGTCGATCATGTTTTAGGCTAAATCCCATTCATTCCTTTTTGGCGAATGTCTAGGGAGGAGTGTGGAGGTAGAGGAGAATAAACCGATTACTGAAGACCTGTTACCTCTCCGAGACCGCTAAATCAGATGAGTCAGTGCCATCCAAGTAGCTGATTTAAAAGCTGATATGGTCTTAGACACCATAGGCCCTCAGCAGAAAACAAATATTTCTTAAAGAAAAAATAAAGAATACTCAATTGTATTTGCCAAGAGGTATCAGTGACGATTCAGGTGCACGCAAATTCGATGACTAGTAAGGCAGGTTCGTAAGAGTTTCTCCTTACAGCCTCGACTACGTTGTGATGGCCGAAGCAAGAGGTTAACCAAGCGGGTCGCGGGGTCGACGATTAAAAGGAGAGAGGGGTGCCATGAAATACTTTAATGGCTTGTTTAACCATCGGTTTTGGTAACAAGTCACTTGGGTCTCCGCCATTGTGCCTTCACCGGGCGAACTGATCTGGGAGCGGTGCCAATAGCCCCTAAGCCCTTCTGTAGGTAGGCCATACATATTCTGCCAAAAAACTTCAGGGAAGTCACTCGATCCAAATTACTTGTAGCTTGTAAGAGTAAGGCAAAAAATGTCATACAGTAATTTAAAAGTAGTCATAAATTGCATTAAGTAAATCCTTTTTGTGGCGTAAGATTGTCAGTTCACTTTCTCCTTTGGTCTGTTAGTAGTGTGGAAATGCCACAAGTGTTTGCTGGCTAACAGATCAAGTTTTGGCTTTGCAAAATGCGGCCATTTCCTTTTGCCACTATCTGTCAGGTCGGCGAGAGATAGCGAGTCGGACAAGACGGCCAAAAATTACAAACGGTGCGGCGGATATTTTTGAGACACAAGGCCACCGTCTAGACACATGATTACACACAATGTCGGTGCGTTTGGCAAACAAAGTCCAAGTCTTAAATCCGTCCTATTTTAAGTGGTTAAATTGCGAGACTCAGCTAAGTGCTTGGTAAATTTTATCCTTATCCGACTACCTAAAATGGTGGTGCGACCATAAAGTGGAACCTCGAAAAATGGTTTTCCTAGGATTTGCAGCATGCCGACATATTGGCCAAACTTCAAGTCAACAAATTTACAAACTCCAACATAGCTCCTCTGTGCGGTCAGAGCTTAGACATATTCGGAGCTTACTCCGACCTTGTGGTGGTTTGTTTACCTCATAAGGTGAATGTCCAAGTCTCCAGCAGCACGGGCGGAAGCGCTTGTACATTCTGATGGGAGCACATTATTCTGGGAATGGAAATTGCCTTATAGAATCACCTGGGATGTCTTATGGTGTTTGTTGTTGTCATACGGGTGTTGATGATGATCCCAAAGCTGCTTTCTCAGACGCTGAAAATGCCATGCCAAATGGTGGAGTCAACGGCCTGTCCGTAAATCTGCGGCTTGTTCGGTGCGAAAGTGGCTTTGATATCTTATTCTCACCTTCACCAAGGCGCATCCTTGGCACAGTCGTCCCACGCTCACCGCCATAAAAACAAACACTGTGGTTGCTGAAGGGCTGTGCTGCCTTTAGACATCGTAATGCGGTAAAATTTACCCCACCTCGGCGTGGCACCGCCTTTCCCCCTGCCACGAGCCCTCGGCCTTCAGATTCGGCTGAAGGTGTCTCAACACTTTCCTTTATGAGTATGTATTTATCCATCGAAAATCCCGCATAACGAAAAATAACGAGATGAAGTAATTTGTCATGTGGATAGTATGACGCCGCCACATCAACAGGAGTAACAGAAACAACAACCATGAAAAGTTCGTCCAGACGTACACAACTACAAGGAACAGATTGAGAGGGAGATTTGTAAGCAAATGTCGGAAATATTCGCATGAACGGCCATAATTTATGCCGCGAAGAGAACTTTGACCTATTTGTGACCCCAGACCCAGGTATGCAAATCAGGTAAATGCGTTTATAAATGCTGATGAACTGTCGAAGGTTGATTGGGGTTGAGTGAGAGCTTAATGGTGCTTACCTCTCTCGTCCTCTGAAGTGGGCTGTTGGCGGTGATGGGTCGGGCATTTATCACCTGGTTCCCTTTAACTCTTTCATTTCCGCACTCGGTGCGAAATGTAAAATGGTAGCGAGGAGAGCGAGAAAGAGGGTGGGAGAGGTAGTGGTAGAGGAGGACGTAACTGCGTGTGACATAAAATCACACACACACACACAGGCAGACGTCTGGTGTTACGATTTATGTTTCTGCGTAGGATCGCACTGCAGTTACTGGACGCTGTGGAAAAAAACACCAGAAAAATCGGCCTCTCAAAGTTTGCCAGGTAGTCGGTGGGAGCCAAAAAGGGTTTGAGATTCCCTTTTAAAGGTTGGAAATGTCCTACTTCGTTGGCTCAAGGTTATCCAAGAAAGAGAATTATCTACAACCTCTATAATACATTAATTGTTTGTTTAACACCTGGTTTTGGCAGAGGACCACTTAGGCGCCCTACGATTGTACCTTCATCGGGTGGGCTGGCATCCTGGTCATGCCAATGGTCCCAAGCCTTGTAGTACGTCGACAACATAGATCCTGCCCGAGTATTGTGCTTTCTTTCGTCTTAGGGTAAGTCTTGAGGCGCTGCAACCTCAATTATGCATTTAAGGGACTCAACCAAATTGGTAATTTTATTTCTGCATACATTAACTCACATTTTGTGATCCACTGAGAATGGTACTAATACCCTATTTCCACATGTTTGGGATGCCTGCGATACCAGTTATTAGTGTCATACAAATTAACTTTCTTGCGTATTAATGCCATTCCAATAACCCTTCCAGGGGCGGTTTATAGCTCCCTTTTACAGCTCAACCACATCAACACGGCGCAGAAGGACGGCATTCCTAAACATTAAGGCCTGTCTAGGAGACGGAGGAGGGAGGTCTGTGTAATGCTTTGGGTAGTCATTACGCTGAATAAATAACGTTGCAGTACCAGCAGCAGTAGCCCTAATCCCGCCTGGCGGGCTTGCTGATAGGGCTGGATTTTAAAATGCGACCGTGAATCCCTTCGATTTGACGCAGTACAATTAGGGAGTGATTGATACCTCCAAATAGTCTAAACGCCGATTAAGACTAAGATGAATGCACAGCCGCGCACGGCGATTACGTCCCACTTAACGCAACGGAGCTGGTACGGATGCAAACCAAAGACCGCTCACCGGCTGCCGCGCCCGCTTTACAGTTAAAAGAGCATTCACCGTTGCAGTAACTGCCGAGCAGGCGAGCGGGAGATCAGGCGGGCTGAGGGCAGACATCACATACGCATGTTTTTTTTAGGCGGGTGAACGAATGAACGCACGCACAGGTGCGTGAGAGATCAGAGAGCAGGACAGAGTAAAAAAAACAGCCAGGGAGACGCTTCTCTGAACTGCACCACCGAAGGGCTTCAAAGAGAAATTGGAGTGAATTAATTCACCCACATTGGCGCTTTTGGGCGTATATGCGTGAGGGGTATGGAATATCTCGTATTTGTGCGCACCATAGGGAGATCCATAAAACAACCTCCAGACGGTTTTGTTTGGGCTTATGCGTGATTTATTATCGCTATATTCCCGAGTCTCGTCTTATCTATTGTTTGAATCGTCTACCCTTCATGAATAAAAGAGCAGATTAGTTAGTTAAATTATTTTGTAGCTCAATCACCGCACTCACCAGTGTTACAAAATATTGTACGTGTTTTGCCAAACTTTCACACCATGCTTACTTAATCTGCATAAAACTTCTGGCTGGGAATTTGGCATTTTCAAGAGAAGGGGCCATGACTTATCTCGTTCAACCTATATCATTAGTACTCCGAATTTAGATGACTCTAATATCGATTTCTCCAATTAAAGAAGTTCAAAATTACCGAACAAATAGAATTTAGGTTTGGTAAACTACCTTGATTCCTCATTTTGAAAGATTTTGTTTGTCCCACCTAGTGACCCATATGTTTAGATTAAAATCATTTTATTAATTAAAACTCTGGCACAAACAAAACTAGAGGCCCAATACGCTTAGGGTATAGAAAACACTTCTTATCTGCGCATTAATTTATAAAATGGCAAGGAATAACAGACCTTTTAAGGTCATTTTATATCATTTCGGAATCAAGATTGTCCCCATGATAATTCCAATGCTCACACGATTATTTCGCACCGCTATGGTAGCCCCGAAGTGGAATGTAAATCATCCTTCAAAGCCATGCTAATTCAAATTTGTACGACTCGTTATGCATTGGCACGGTTCCCAGCTTTGATATGCCTGGGCTTATGAGCGTCATTACGTGGATTCCGTCAGAGTTGATGTTTACTTTGGAAAATAAATAGCGACTGTCCCAGCGCTTTGTCTGGGATCCGTCGCCTGATTTAAACTGTATTGATTCGCAGAGCAGGATTCCGCCCTTACAACTATTTAACAGGGTTTATAATGCCTTTAGAAATAGTTTTTCACTAAATCACCTATGGGTAATTTTCAATGGGATTCTCATCGCCCTTCTCTTTTCTTAATAAATGAGGGAATGGGTTAGACCCTTATCAGATGTGCTAGCCAATCACGAATATCCCCTCTTGATGCTTTTCTGATGTTTTTGATGTTTTGATTAACCAAAATTCTGCCCTCTGATTCTCAGCCCAAATCGGAAACTTTAAGATTCATAACCGACGTTTATGCTAATATAAAAGTAGCATTATAATATTCTCCGCCTTTGCTCTCCGAAAGACGTCGACCCTTTGGTGATAACTTGTCTAAGAGTTCAATAGCAGTGTAGTTTTCGACGCTGAAAGAAAGTATTCCCGATGCGCTTAAATTTGGGCACTGTGAATTCACGGATAGCAGGCCAGTGAATCACCGTAAATGCAGCTCATATAGTCCATATCTCAAGTCAACCATTTATTTACCTAAGAATTAATTCCTTTTTGCCTAAACTTTTAAATGCGTCGCCTCCGCCTTCGTCCCAACGCACGCAGGCATGCACACACCGAGCGAATGGAGGATTGAGCGGAGAGTGGCGGGTGGATGAAACGAGCCGCGCGATTTGAAAGCGCGCCCCTTCCTTTGTGCCATTTTTGCGTCTGCTTCTGTGTCTGCGCCTGCACCCGCGTCTGTCCTCCCGTTTAAAATCACATTTAACTGTGTGCAAATTTTGTGAGAAAGCACTTGGAGGCTATAATTACAAGTCTGCTGCATTAACGTCTGAATGGCGTGCAGGCGACCCTAAAGCTGCGGTTAGCCCCGGGGCCGTGAACACGGCGGTGCTCTCGCCTTCTCTCGCTCTCGCCTTGAGGGAGGACACATGCCGCGTGATTCCACATCAAAGCGATTTGAGCGCGCGGCGTTCTCCTTTGAACTGAGCACATTACAAGTTCGTTTACACTCTCCTCTGGTCATATCGATACTAAAAAGTGGGAGAATGCAGGTCTCACACTAAACCGGGCGTAAAACTAACACTCGTAACCGTTCGCTCACTTATTTTCCCACCAATTGCTAAAGCTGGAAACAGGGACGGGCACGGGCTAAAGGGGGCTTGATGCAGCACCCCTGCCTGCCGAGGAAGAGACAAAAAGTCGCAATTGAGGCTGCACATTTGAAGGCACTCATTTACTATTCAAACTCTAATACTTTTCCCATAAATAAACTCGTAAACTGGCGGTAAATTCAGTCATAATTACAGGCGCTTTCCTACTTTAAGCTCTTTTAATGTTGTATTCCGATTCCTCCACTTAAAATAAAAGTTAAAAAGAAAAGTATCGGTAGTAATGGGATTGCGAGCCGAGTCACCCACTACTTTGCTGACCCAGACGATGGCAATCTCTTGAAAAATGAATGACGGAGATAACTTAAACAATTAAATTCGTGCTGAATCACCACTGCCACATTGCTGTGGTAAATCACTCGCGACGTTTCCTTTGCAGATAGGTTAATATAACCTTTTTTTCATCAAAACTACTCTAAACTTATTCCCGACAACGTAATCACTTTTTCACCAAATGTGTGCTCTCGGATAACACTTCGAATCCTTTTCTCAAACGCGTCGTCTCAATAAAAGTGTTTGTGAATGAGCGTAAAAGGCATCTCCCTGACACAAAACGAAGACCTTTTAGATGTCATCCTAGTCCTCCTTGCAAAATTCCACCTCATTAGGTCAGTAAAGGAGGGTAAAACTCCGAACGGGATGACCGAGTCGTATTCCGTGAGAGCAATTGAAGCACCAGCCTACATCAGAGGACTACTGTACATTCTTTATTTCCTTGATAAGTTTTTTATAGTTCGGAGTATCCCCACATTAGGCATAGGAATTAATGCCCACCACTTTTTAACTATTCCTAGTGCAGTCAGTAGAACGAATGGCAGTTGGCTGGATGACAAGGCACTGGATGACGGGTTGAAACTCTAGCTAGCCTTCCACATCAAACACGAACTTACGCCGCAGCTCTAAAACCTCGATTCAGAAGTTTAAAAAGGCGCGAAAACAAGAATTACAAGTCTAGTAGGGCTCTCAACAAGCCTTGGCTCTGTCTTTACCTGCTGTCAGTGATGGATCTCTTTGCCCCCCTCGCTTCCCGCACGCGCAACGACCTGTGTGGTTGAACTCACAAGCCTGCCAACGCAGGAACATGTGACCAACAAAGTGAAGTGTGCGTGGTCCGATGCTTTGATCTTTTCTTCAACACGACCTACCAAATGCCTATTCTTATGCGTGCATAAGAGTTTTGTTAAAAAGCCGACGCTTTGAAGTATAAAAGAGGGAGAGACACTAAACCGGTTAAGAGCTGTAGCGCACCTCCATGGAAGCGTTTCGCTTCGTCGAGTTGCATAGAAAAGTTGGTTGAGGGTGCTCGTTAGTGCGGTGGATTCAATTTTTTGGAAAGTGCCCGTGGTTTGATATTCGTGACTGGTAGGGAGTGTTGTCAGTCCAAATAAAGCTGTAGAACTTACAAAACGCACTGACTATACGGAACCCTAAAAGACGATTGGTAAAGCGCACGGGTGCTCCCAGTACTCTGGACACCACGAATGCCTTACAAAACCTCCCAAGGTAAGGCTACAGCCTTGTTTGTACTTATAGCCACTTAAAAGTGGCATCGTTTGGCCTCCAAATGATTGGCTGCTGCATCAATTAGGGTCAATTTACACCAGAACTCTCAAATGGAAGGAGCAGATATAGAAAAGCCAAAATATCAGTGCACATCCGCAATTTTATACATATAAAATGGCAGTTTTTTGGTAGGGAAGGCAGGACTGGACATAGTGAAAGCATCTGTACATTGATAGACGGGATTGGGAGGAGGGAGAGAGGGAGGAGAAAATCACCGTTTAGAGCAAAATATGTTTCTCATAGATATAGAGGTACCGAGTCTGCAGTTGGGACAAATGTGTGTTGGCGGGCAAGTGCATGGGTGAATGGAGTGGTCAGAGGATGTAGGTCTCAGATATAAGTGGGTAGGAAGACTTGATCGAATCGAAGAAAATCACTCCCTCTCCTGTACACACACATACACACACGCACGCACCAACAGAGTACCGCACCTCATCAATCAGCGCGTTCGACACGAGCAATCACCTTCCCCTCCCACAGCGGCAGAATTGCGTTGTCATCGCCCACCTCTTCGTGCACGCAGCCTGTGCCAAAATCGTCACTAGCCGTCTTGAAAAAGTACCTGCAGAATAACACGTGATTGCGCATAAGCCATTGACCCATAAGCGATACTACTTAGGGGCAGTTAAGTAGGAAGTAATTTCCCTAGGAGCAATCAGAAGTGTACTGTCTGAGAGGCATCGGAGACAAAGGTAGACAGGCGCATCAAAAAGAGCGCAACACAGCCTCCTCCAGACCAATGTGATGCAAGATCAATGACTTCTACCATTGCCAAGGCAACTGACTGACTATTCCAGCCAACTTTAGCTCTCTGTCTCCCCTCCTACCGATGAGCGGCATTTCAACACGAGACCGCACAATACAGTTAAATCAGGGCACGAAAATAATCAAACCGATAAGAGGTCCTTAGTGAATGCTGATTTCTGGGACAAAAAAAGGAAACCAGGTATATATTCACAAATTTTCTGGGCGCAGAGGCTCAGTGGAGACATTAGAAGGAAGTCAAGCAGAAAGCAGTGTAGTGCAGTGCAGTAGAGCTCAAAGGTACACTTGGAGTTGAAGCGGTAGTCACTGCGCCTCAAGCTATCAATCATGGATGGTCAGTTGGTCAAGCGATCGGGGGAACAAAGGGGTAGAGATGATGTGTAAAGTACACCTATAAAGTAGTTGAGGTCTTGTGTAGTAGTAGGGGGCTCGATGAAATATGGCTGGCAAGCACACACACACACACGTACAAAGCACTTAGAATCGATGCTCGCTCGGCGCCTTGCAGCGGCGCACAACACACAAATCTCCCACAGTAGCGGCTTCGAGGTGCCCGTTTGATGTCAGTGTGTATGTATGCGTGCGTCTATTAATCACCTACCGCCGGTGCCCACAAGTGTGTGCGCTGCCACTTCTCTCGCCCTCTCCACCATGATCGCTGAGAGAAAACCGGCCTCTGTAAGTACACACGCATACCCGTTCGCACTCTCTTGCCAAGGTCCTTTCCGTCACTGCTGCTGCTGCTGCCGCCTGTAAAACTGCTGCGATGAGATGAAAGAGGCGGTGTGTGACTACTTTGATTTCTCCGCTCACTCTGCTCCGCGGACGTGCTTCTCTTCAAAGCCAGCGCTTCACGTATGCGTGTGCGCTCACGCACTAATAAACACCGACATTGATTTCACGCATTCGGTGGAGGGCGAAGGGAGTAGGAGGATGTGGGGGAGGAGGAGGAGAGAGCGCTCCTCCGCGCCTATTTGCTGCTGACTTGCGTGTGCGCGCGTCCACGCACTTTTGATGAACTCAACACCCATATAGTCAGCCTGTCATTCACACACTCTCACTCATTCACAATCAAACGCGGGCCTAACAGCGCCGCGTATGAACAATAAAACGATCTGTGTGGGTTCGATGTGTGCGATGGTGGGTGTGTAGGGAGCAGGCCGAGGGAAAAGCGAGCATTGGAAGATTTACATGCGCATGCGTAAAAAATTAGGGTACTTCCCCCTCACGGGCTACCGTGAGAGGCCGACAGTCCTTTTCCAGTGGTCAAAGAACACAAGCAAGCGCCGCAGTTTTGCTGTCTTTTAAAGGAATCAAAAAAAAAATTCACTGCTTGCAGAGGGGGAACATCTCCGGTTGTTAAGGTTATTTTGCTCTCATTTAATTAAGTTCAGAATCATTTCAGATGAATGAGCTCCATGCGCATTCACAGTACCATAAGGTGAGGACAGCCCATGCCGCACATTGATCGCATTGACGACCAGACCAGACTGTCAAGTCCTTTAAAAAATCTTCATAGGGGTTGCAACAATTTCACTTATGCATAATTGAGAAGGCCATTGATATCACAGAAGGGCAAGTCCGGAATTCGCTGCTCCAGCGCGTTTCACGTAGCCAGACCAAAATCGATTCTACGAGGTCCAACGGCGACAGATTAGGACGTTAGTGCGTCTGCTTACTTGTTTGATGCCTGCGGCTTTGATCAAGCCGCTGTAATAAAACTACGAGACAGACTAACTGGCTGGCTGGCTAGCCATGAAAAGGGTAGGTAGAGCGAGAGCAAGAGGGGGTGGACGGTCGGGAACTTTGCCCAACTCAAAGCCACTCGGGTTGGTTGTATCTTTTGCACTCAAATAATTACCTATCCACAGAACTAATGGACCACTAACATTAAAAATTGCCGCTTTTTTTCTACTCTGAAAGTATGTGAGGCCTAAATGCAAAGATAGATCTCTGTGGTACATACTAGAGAGGCAGATGTCATTGGGACGCGTGGTTTTGCCTTCGTAATGATGGCAGAACGCATGGCCCAAGATCTACAACCGACTGCCTAAATTGAGTCGTTCACAAGAGGTAAGCATGGCTCTAGTCGAAAGACATGAAGGTTACCACTATTGTATGCGCCTTATAGACAGCCTTTCAATCTTCATTGGGTGGTAAGCACGGAGCAAGTCAATCGGTTAACAAGGGAGAGCTTGGCGACTGGAGGAACAGACACACACTCCAAGGTAAGCGTATGGAACAACCGGAAATGCAGAGGCCTTTGTCGGCGGTAGCCGACAAACAACACACAGAGTTACTGCCACACGACAGATAAGGATAGCAACGCAATACAAGTGCGTGTGAGTACGCGCATCGTAGTCGGAGTTGGTGTTTATGCGTGCATTTAGTGGCGGTGGTTGATGAGAAGTTGAGGCCTCCTTAGGCAAAAGGCAGCGGGTGGGAGCAGTGACAGTGACATGCACCATATTCCTGCATAATCCGAGAAGCGAAAATCCCTCATTCACGTCTCATCAATGTCATTTTCGCCTGCTCCATCAACTCACACCTGTCGCGGGACATGAAGAACAAGAGAGCTAAGCGCTTCTTTGAGGAATAAATTACGATGACTGAAGTGGACTTGGATGAAGATCGGTGGGGAGGAGGGCGGTGAGAAACCAGTCAAAGCAGAAGAGGATGAGGAGAAGCATCGAGAAGGCTATTCACAATCATAAGTGCATGTATATACATACACCACTCCACTCCGCTTCTGTGCTCGGAAAGCTATGGACGGGCATACACACACACACACACACAAAGCGAGCGACTAGGTGATGGGCCGGAGCGCCAGCGTTAGTGGCAAGACAGAGGTTGATGCTGATGTTACTACCATGGCCCCTCGGCCACCACCGTCGTCGTCGTCGCCACTATCAACATCATCAACAGCCCAGCGATGGTGCTGTGTGGTGCGCACCCGCGCGCACGTCCGAATTCTGGGCCACGGCGCAGTCGACTGTGCATCGCACACCCACACACATCGATTTTCGGGGCGCGTCATGAGAAATCCAGTGCAGCGATGCCAACGTCCCGACGGTGGTAAGGCAAGCAATCGTGTACACAAGCGCAAATTCTATGAAAGGGGGCCCTCCTCCCCTCACAACCCTCGGCAGGAATGCTTGCTTTGATGACCCTGACTTGTACATCTTTTAATGAATAAGGATCTTTTGCCTAAAAAAACTGAGTCTCCAATCGCGTTCAGAGAGAGACTGAGGAGGCCTTGAGTAAGGTAAGCGTGCAGCGTACTAAAAGGTCAAAGCTGCAAGATGTCGCAGTCGTCGCCGTGCCTTGACAAAAACCTTGCGTTCGCCGCGCGACACTGAGTAATTATCGGCCTCCATTTCCAGGGAAAATCAGAAAAAAAGATTTTCAAAATCCAACTTTCAAACTCTTCCAAACACAGATCAGTGAGAGAGGCTTCAGACTTACCGATAGACCCCTCTCTTGGCGACTAATTGTTTGAACTGTCCCAGGGTGATGGAAGGAGGGTTGTTGGAAGTAGCGGTGGCGTCAGAGGTGAGAGGACCGGTCCAGACGGTGCGGTAGGGCACGGGGTCATCACAGAGGTAGTAGCCCACCACCAAACTGAAGGCGGTTGTCGCAGAGGCCTGTGGCTGCTGTGCCTGTTGATTGGACGGTGGCGGGAGTGCGGAGAAGCCCGGTGCCCTCTTGATCAGCGCGCTATCCGTGCATCGCGTCGTTGTCGCAGCAGCTCCGCCGCTCTGCTGAGCAAACTTTTGCCTATCCGATCTGGAGATTGGAAGAAATAGGATTTTCTACAAGGCTGGCAATATGCACATGCTGGAGGAGGAGTTAGAGAGGAAGCTATTTGGCTACCGCGCATTGAAACTGCCATTTCCCTGTCGCACTACATCGCACCGCTCCCTACTACTACTCAACGATATCCTGACTTGGCGTACTCATGCTGCGACAGGATGGTCGCGATGTTTGCCAAACCCTCACCACGTCCGACATGCCCCCCACCTTCTCCCTTCGTCTCGCTCTCTCTCGCCCGCTGGTTTGCTTGGTCGCTTGCCTGCTGGCTGGCTGGCTGGCTGACTAGCAGCTTGGGTCCCTTAAAAACGTGTACGTCAGCCGAGGAGAGACCCCAATGAGTCATTCAATCAGGACCAAGTAGGCCAATGGAGGGAGAGCAGAAAAAACTAACAAAAAGAGCAATTGATACAAATTGAAGCACACTACAACGCGGCTAGAGCGACCGTTGGCACCCGCCAGCACGTGTACACGTACACACACACATACGACAAGGGATAAAGTAGACAGGATTGGAGAAACGAGTGTTCCCGCTACCACCACCCCTATTTGCAAGTGCCTGAACAACTTGCATTCATTCAGATGCCGAATGAGAAGAGCTATTTGGCATGACACAGGCACGATTCAATTGGACGCGGTGACCACAAGGCGCATGTAAACAAGACAATAGTCTGCATTTGCGTACTTGTGTAGCATACCGATGAGTGGAGCGCAATGAGTGGATGGATGAATGAGAGGTGGGTAACCTGGTGAGTCACGATGGACGATAAAGCGGCGGGTGCAAGCCTGAATCAGCACACGAAGCGGGTGTGTGTGTGTGTGTGTGTGTCTGCTCCTAGGCTTGGAGCATCTCGTTTCATCGCATGCGTGTGCACGCACCCACACGGTGGATCGAGCGAGCGGCGGACAGGCGTAGCCACACCACCACTACCACCACCGTCGCCGATGCTATGAACTGACTGCGCAGGAATACTTGACACCCCACATCATCAATTAATCCGAGCTCCAGGACCCAGACTACCAATCAAGGGGTAAATGCCCACGTCTCGAGGTCATCTCTCTGCCCATAACGAGGCCAATCTAAATGCATCAATGTGTGCGTGTGTGTCTGTTCGGGAACCAACCTGGCAGGAGGTGGCTGAGGGGGACGGTAATTGGAGTTGAGGAGATCGAGATTGGTTGTGAGGGCAGCAGGAGTGGCATTTCTCTCAGCGTCACAGTCACCCAACAAGCGATTCAGTTCTAAAATTAAACAAAAAGTAGTGATGCACCCGGACATATAGACACAGATAAAAAAGTGCAGTTAAAAGGGGAAGGAGGATGAGGCCTACCATCCGGCAGAGGCGTCATACGTCCGCCAAACGTCGGCGTAGCATCGTCGACAGCTTGTGCCCTAAAATGCCAAAAGAGTGCATAAGAAGAGGCAGGATAAGAACGGCAGTAAAGAAAACACTTGCGTCCGTGTGTGCGCAACAGAGGGCGGCTAAGGAGAAAGCAGCAATGGCGGCGGAAGAGAAAAAAACCGAAACCCTCTTGGCGCATGCACACAACACACAAAAGATAGCGGGAGGCTGGGGAGAAGGAGGATAAAGGATGAAGGCCAAGCAAGGAAGCGAACGAGCGGGCAATGAGCGAACCAGTTGAAATAACTACTGCCGTTAAGAGCAAGGTGGGGAGAGAAAACTATGCAGACGCGGGTGCGCCTGTACACATGGGAAGGAGGAAAGGCGATGTAGGATTAGTTGAGGCAAGGTTCGTCCCGTGCCCATCAAAGGATCTGTCTATGTGTGTGCACTTTACGTGCATTAATCAGGAAGCGGGTAGTGGCGGATACGGTATAAAAGGACCAAGAAAGACACCAATGGGAAGGATGGAACCTTCACCGAAGGAAAGAAAGCTTTGATCATCTGACGCGTGCGCTCGCACGCAAAACACTGATGGCAATCGAGTGGCCACCTTTTTCTCCGTACGTACGCACGCACGCATGCGCACAATCGAGGCGGTGGTGTACGCATGTGGTTGTGTACATGCGACTCGGTAAAGTGGTGGAGGGAGGGGTGGGGGTAGGGGCTATAAAACTCTCCACACAAGTGAGGGTGCGTGCATGCACACTCCCGGGCGTATACACGCACACAAACGTACACGCATATACAGGGAGAGAGCGAGCAAGTAAGAAAGGCGGTGGCGGTGGTACAGGTTTCTTTGATGTGGAGACGCTTTGATGTAAGCCGCGTCGCCGCTACAACCACAATGTCGTTCACATGGCCAGGTAAACGAGCATGTATGCGTGTAAGTGTGCCATGTATTCAGTGGGTGGGTGTATTTGTTGTGTGCACGCAAACGTCAGGAGCCTAAACACACTCATCGAGACACACTAAGAATTTTCTCTAAGCGTAGCGGCGATTAAGGCTTTGTGCGCTTGCTAAACCATTTCGGCACGAAAAAAAGCCTACATTCTTGCCTTTGAAGCATAACAAACTAAGCATGCCTCAAACATCTCAAACGACCCAAGCGTTCCAGTCAACAACCAACCTAAATAATAGCGCTTGCACCTTAACCCCTAGTTAACCACTGTTAACTATGCATTAACAGTTCACTAACCTAGTTTGTGGAATTTCATACTAACACTAGAGGCTGGAGGGTAAGCTTACACCAGCTTGTGCTCATCGTGTCTAGATCGACGAGGCGGAGGTAAGTGATCATACGTGGAGGAGAGGCCTGAATCAAATACACTGGGCGAGTCGGATGTCAAGCTCCTGCTTCGCAAGGCCCTTCCACCACCGCAGCAGTCGCCCTCCTCCAAATTGTAGTGATGGCTGTGACTGTGGAGGTACTGCTGCATCCGTTGGTACTGCATACCCCACCGGTAGTTGCTGCTACTGCTCACAACTTCCTTGCGATGAGCTCCAGGGGTTGAGCTCATGGAGGGCGTGCGTCGACAGAAGGAGCACATCGGAAGTGGTGGAGGTGGTGCATAATTCCATCTGCAGTGCTGCTGTTGATGATGGTGATGGTGAAAGGCGCCACCACGGCTAACGCAGGACTCCGAGTCGGAGCTGTTCAAGCCACCACCACCGCCACCACAAGTGCCCACACCACTGTCGAAGGAGGAAATGGAGTAGACATCGGAACGACGACCGCTTTTACGACAGACGTTGAGCGGCTGGCCGCGTCGTTCGTCCGTCCAGATGCGCGAACAGTGATCCTCCAGAATGACCTGTGCGTCGTCCGCAGAGGGCACAGCCACACCCGAACCGGATGGGGGCAGGAGAGCGGAGAGTTTCTTGCGCAGCAGATCACCGCTTGCAGCCGAGGTAGCGCGACGAGAAATCGAGGAGAGGCGAGTGGAACGAGTTGGAAGCGGTGGAGAGGGCGGTTTGTTGACCTCAGCGTGGATTGAGGCTAGCTCCGCGTCCTCACCTCCAGCCTCTTCTGGATCAAACTTCAATTTGGATACAAAAATGCTGATTAGGAAAAAGTGCAATGAGCGAGTAGTGGCAAGTTAACTTAGTTGATCTACCGGTTGCATGCGAGAGAGAAGGCGCTCCATTTTTCCACGAGACTCCTTGACCTTTTCAAGTCGATGACTCAGGGTCTGTGCAAAGGCGCTGGGGTCAACCTCAGCAAGGTTTGTGCCAGGTTTGCGGGTTGTAGTCTCGATGACAGGCGCCGCTGTTGTAGGTGGAGGAGGTTTGGATGAGGGAGGAGCACCAGGGAGACTATGATCAGCACCACTACTGGCAGCAGCATTGCCAGCCCCAGTAGGGCTCATGTAGGCGATGAGTTCAGAAGCCGTTACCATTTCTCGAGCGCCCCCAGACTCCGCAGTAGTGCGTCGGCTCTTGTCAGAGGAAGTAGTGCCACCGGCTGAGGCTTTGGTATGCCTAAAGAAACAAGTGGGTGCGTGGGTATATGTGTGCCTAAGAGATGTAGATGCTTGCGGCAGGATGCATTTGCCAGCCGGCAGCAGCGGCAGCAGTCGGTTGCATGCATGTGCTACCCTCACAAAACACCATTGGCGCAGAACGCATGGAATGCCTTTTTGCGACAAAGGTAACTGACTGCCACCGTCTTAGAAAGTTCCGAACACTTACATAACCAGAGACGATACAGATGCCCTTGTGCTTAGCGCGTGACTTCTGCAAGAAATATGGGATGACAGAGCTCCTACAGTCCCTAAAATATAGTCTAAACAACCGTGTAATCTGTTATTGGGGCAATTAGAGACGGAGTGGAATAAATTGCCCATCTTGGATTTGCAATATATAGGTTAATTAGCAATGTGGAGTTAATTTATGGCTTGCGAATTCGCACTAACTAGTTTACTTAAGCAAACAGTTACGAAAGTAGAACGGCCGAACCGTCAAGGCCCAACAACAAATCACGGGTCTCGGGATCCGCCAAAGCAGCAGCGACCCCAAGGTATCGATTTGGTGGGCATCACTGAGACATCTCGGATGAAAGAATGACCGTAAGGGAGGAGGCACAAAGGCAACACGGAAACCAAAAGTAGCAGGAATTAAAATCGATGGGCTGCCACCATTTGCACGTAAGCTGACACACGCAGGTGCGCACAAGCACGCAACAGGCCCAGGTGGGGAGTGCGTCGACGTCGCGAACGTGCGAGCGTGCGTGCGTGAGCGCACATGGGGCGGCGGCATACGTGTGCACGCTGTGCTCGTAGGAACACAAGGCGGTGGTAGCGGCTGCTGGTGCTGCTGTCAAGAGGCCGCCCTGTTGTTGATACCATGCCGCAGCCACCGCTACCGCCGCTGACACCATCATCGCTATTGCCGCCGCGCTGTCGTTGTAAACTGGGTTAATCAGTCAGCTCCGCATTCTCCGCGATCGCTGCCTGTCTCACACTCTGGTTCACTGTTACGCAAGGTGACGCCCTCCCTCCCTCTTCATTCAGCGGTCGAAAAGAGCACACAAAAAGCATACACACCGTCGCTGTCGTCACGGTAATGCAGGCAATAACGGTGTAAAAAAACGCGTTTTGCATGAGCGATCCATCTAATAAAGGCTCCAAGAGCACACAAATTACGCCCAAGCCTACAAGCACTAATGCGTTGTCCTTAAGAATGGGTCATTCTAGAATGTCTCTACAGTACAATACCTTATCGCCCACAATGAAACGCCGCCCCACACTCCGCGTTAGCTAGGAGGTTGCTTTGGAGCACTGCACAAGAGCACGGTGATGGATAAAGTTGGTGTAGCTAAAACTCCGTCTCATAAGAAGTCGCACACATGCACAGAATGGCACACACTTCACCGCTCACTCGCCCGTTCACAGGGCCTGTGTGGTGTCCCAGTCCTCTTGGCAGGGTACACCATCATGCCACCCACAAGCGTATACACGCATACACACGCAGAGGGGCTTACTTTGATCTCGCACCCTCTTTCCCTACCTTCCTCTTGCTCCCCTGCGCGCTCGCGCACAAGCGCCGCCCTCCGTGAATGCGCACACGTCTGCATGTCAAAGGTCCCCACACGCAAAGATGGTAGTTTCACAGAGAAACTCCCACGATAGGAATCAAAACTCCAAATAATCTGTCGCATGCACAAAACTCACATGGAGGAGGGCTGTTGTACTTACGTGATAGGTCCACCGCCTCCAGCATCGCATTGTTCCATGATACACGATGCTGGGTTCAGGTCAGTGGGGTCTGCTGCAGGAAGAGAGACGCCTTCCCCGCTACCCGATTGTGCCCTAAATTTGTATACAAGAAAATCAGTTGGCTCTACGAAATCCGCGATGCCTCGGCAAGCATTCCATTTTAATAACTGAGCCTGGTGAGATCAAGTGTAGAGAGCAGGACTTGCATTTACATAAGAGATATTAAAACTCATGAAACGTAACATTCATAAGTGATAAGTTTGCACCAAATACACCAAGAAAGCATCAATCGATCATCTGACAACAATAGTAATAAAATGAGTTCCGAATTCAAACCCATATAATTTCTCAAAAAGACCCAAAAGGTACTAAAGTAAAGGTTCCAAAAAAGGGAACAAGTGGTAAATTAAATAGCTTAATAAAACTTAAACCTTACGTGGGCTGTTGTGGATTACCGTTGAAAAAATTCCCTCGTTTGGCATTGTCTGACTGATCACAACATCCATGATTTGATTTTCCTGGAAGAGCAGCATTACATTCTAACACCGAAAGGGACTGATGAATCATTCTGAAGGAGTCGGACTGTAGGAATTCCAAGAAGTAACTGCGCGCGAGGAGATTCTGTATATCCGCTTGAGCAGCATCGAAAAGTGAGCGCAGGACTGGAGAGCACTTGTCTCCGCTTATCGAATTGTGATATGATTGAGAAAACGCACTCAGAGTGGAACGGATTTCTCGTTTCGTTGAATCATTTACAGGAACAGATAAAGCCGCATCAGTTTTAATGTAAGTCCGATAAATGGCCTTTGCAACTTGGAGGAGTTTGAGTTGATCATCACCATCTACGATTGAACGGAATCCCTTACAAGCAAACCAAAAGTCTAACAGATGACCAGACGAAAAAGATGACGAAAGAAATTTGTGGAATTGTCGGACGCCCTCTGAGTCATTCAAAAGTGTATCGAACTGGTGACTTAATGGATGATGAGAATCCATGGTTAGCAGCTTAAATGCACCAAAAGAACAGTAAGGCTACAAATGCATTGGTCTGTTAGTGTGAGTGATCGACGAGACGCCAAGCACGAAAACGACTAACCACGAATAGCAAATACTCCTCGAATATGCGCGTAGCTGGATTTCAATAAATTGACTGTTCTTAGTAAGCTTAAACAATAAGTGAAATTGCTTAGTTTTAAATGACCTTGAAAATGGCAGTGCAATTAATTTTGCCGAATATGTTTAAGTCGTATATAGTATTTATTATCACACCTTTGTACCCTAACAACACGATTAGAAGAAGATGAAAAATGGAAAATATTTCAAGGGATTTAAGTCATTAAACGAGATCGAAATAAGAAGTATTCTTGTTGACATATAAACAGTTTCAAATGGCGAGCCACGCATTTGTCAAATGTACTACTACAACATTAGATGGATTTCCGTAATATTTGCGAACGTACAATTTTTAAGCGTACATTGCAGCGTCCCGATTCCTCCCTAAAGACAATAAAAGCCATAATACTGAAACAAAAGGTGTATTGGTGCCACATGAAAGGACTTTAGGCTACTAACTTAGACCGGAGGCCACGTCGCCAAGCGGATATACTAAGTTAAACCCTTCATCGACTGTTGAAACAAAGCCGAGAGTTGAAAATAGGAGCAATGCATATATTTCCACTACCTGTCCCCAAAAATAACTTTTCTCAATTTTATAGGCAGAACATGAGAATTGCGTCTTGGGATATATTGACAATACAAAGATTTCTTATCAAAATGACGGTGGAAATTTAGGATACTTCTAAAAATTTCCTTACAGCCACGCAGTAATACTTCCCAATAAATACGCTAAGAAAGCGTTCATTTATGCAAATCTACCAGGCACTAAATGTGTTGATGTGTTTTGCTATTTGCGGTGACTAAATTCAGTCGAACATATTATTGCTACGTGGATCCCGATTTCAAGTTTTGGTTAACCGTTAAACAAACGAATTCTCAAGCAGTACCAATGTGCTTCCAACTAAGTCGACTACCCCCAAACAAAATTTCATCATATTAGTTTATTTTAAAAGACTTGTCTTTGTAAGCGAACAAATTCTACGGAACAGCACCAGAGCTAGTCAATCGCTCCCTTTAAAAACTGTGCATTTAATGTTTCGAAGTCCATTTCTTTCCTTAGCTCACGAAACTGAGGCGCATGCCTCACAATGCGCTTTTATCCACAGTGGCGACGGCTAGTGCCAGACTTCACATGGATGCTTCCTTCGTCCGTTTTCTTTTTCTTTTTCTTCGCCTTCCTTTCCCTCTTACCTGATGTATTCATTCGCTACTTTCCTTCACTATTACACTTTATCCAACCACTCCCTTTGTCCATTCACACCTTTTTTTGATTTCTTCTAGCCCTTGTTTGTCTAACTTCCTGCTAGAGTACAGAACCCCTTCCAGATGAGCTCATGGTCTTACATGCCGTGACTTCATTTCTACTTAGAACCATGCCTTATGTGCCGCTTGGATATTCGGGTGTGAGGCGTGATAAGGCAGGAAAGATGTGAGCTGTCGGGTTCGAGCCGATCTTTGTCCAGATGCTTAAATATGCCCATGTAATACTTTAGTTGTTTGTTTAAGTTTCATATTTGATTGCACTGGCACTTAAGGCTCCGTAATTGTACTTCCCGTAGGCAGCATGGTCTTAGTACCATGCTCGCAATCCCTAGCCCTACTGTACGACGATAACCCATATTCTGTTCAAGTACTATGTCTTCCTTTGACTTCAGGAAAGGCTCCAGGATGCTGCGTTGTTGGCAGCAGAAAGCTAATCCGAGCATAAAGGACAGCCACCCTGATTCCTATCACTGACTGCTAAGCCGTAATGTGACGGAAGAAGTTGATATGCTGCAGATGAGAGAACTAGTTTCGATTCCTGGTAGAAGGTCTTTAAATGACGTCTACCTATGACAGCCATCCAGTCCAGTGTTCTGTGGGAATACTGTTAACAACTGGAAAAGTTCGTTACGGAGCTGCCTAGGGAGCCTGTATGAAGATGTCAATGAAGTGAAAACACGATACCCCCTCCTTCACTTCTCCATTTGTTGGATAGAATCCAGGGAGGTAGATATGGCTGGACAGCACTAAAGTGAGAACAAAGTGGTAAGGAGGAACTGACGCCAAACCTTATCCCTACTAAATGATTTTAAATCCTTACTTTATCAAACGGTTTGGCTCTTGGATCCATGTTCGTGCGACTAGCGATGGACATATTAGATGATCAGCTTATTCGCCCTGAAGTTCCCAAACAGGCTGAAAATTCAGATCCAGTGGAATTGCCAAGAGGGATCAGTGACGATGCAGTCAGATACCTTCTCAGATGCAGGCAAATTTGATGACGGGCACGTTTGGTTGGTTGGTGGATGTTTTCCTTATGCTACCGACTCTGTTGGCATGGCTGAGGCGTGAAGTGACTATGGGGAACACAGGGACTTGGTTACATAGACTGTCAAGGCTCCTTCATTGCAATTCCCATCGGTGGCAGGTCTGCGGCCGTCCGGCCCTTCGAAAGCCTCGACAATTTGGCTATGGCTTCATTCGACTTCAGGAAATGCTTAGGGTGTTGCATTCGATCTATACGTTGTATTTTATACATATTCACTTTCTTGATGGACGAGGTATATGAGGCAAGTAAATTACACAAGTTTTGTACACACAGTTGATCCAAGAAATTACAACCACCATCCACTACCTATGCCTGAGCACTCTCAAGTCAAAACACTTTTCCATTATTCGGCCGAAGCTCCTCACTACCCTACCAAATCTCCCCTAGCTCCTCCCTCTCCATCACGAAATGCTGTTTTAAGCAGCTTTCATCCATTAGCAGCCGAAAGTGGACAAAGTTGGCGATGTCATCAGCAACTACGCTTCGACTGTGCATAGCCTGCGTCGGAGCCTATTTATTCCACCTCTAAATGCCGTTAAACCGCCAATAGACAAAAAATGTTGTCAATTTGAGTTAGTGTTGGTGCATGTTACATGAACGGTTATAAAGGTCTCAGACTACATGGCGCGGGTAATAAAAGCTGACCGTCAGGCTACCTCTCAAGTGTTTGTGATCCCATCTCTTCTGTAGTAATTCAAGCCCACTGTACCTTCTTGCCCTTGGTGAGTCCTTTCCCATTGTGCCATTCGGTCAGGAGAACTTTCTAGAAAGGGAAATGCCTCCCCCCATGTAGAGGTGTAGCATGCGGATCCCTTTTGAAAAGGACGGTTTTTCTGGACCAGTTACCCCCCATCAAAAGAGTTCAGCATATTCAAATCTTCATTCAGCACAAAACAGGTCAGATAAAGTGGTTTGTTTACTCAAAGTGCAAGTGCTGTATTCGCAAACTAAACTATGGACACTGCATGTCTAACGGTTTTGCCTTCGCCACACAAAAACCACTACAAGTTAGACCCATTCTGGACATCTTTACCTAAGTGCTACCTGACGGCCACCCATAGCCCTCCTGCTGCATCAAATCAGACGGATATCCCGGTAGTACATAAAGCATGGCTTTGAGGCAGCGTGGAGTCACGGGACGGGGCATCACGAGGCCATCTGTGAAGGATTTTGCAGTCGGGCTGAATGTTGAATGAACAGGGGGAGAAAGACGTCGAAGAAGAGTGCCAAAGGACGAAGCGGATGGATGAAGCAAAGGGGATGAGGGCGGATGAATGAGGGAAAATAGCTACCGAATGCATCGGATAGACAAGGGGAGGAAGGCGTAGAAGGAGCACACCGATGAAGGCATCACCAATGTCAAATGTGGCCCTTGGCCTCGTCACTGGGGATGAAGGAGCATCGTGAGACATGTACCTTAATTTGTGCAATTCACGGAAAGAAATGAACGCCAAAGCACTGAACGCACTGTGGTTGACCGGAGAAATTGACCGTTTCTGGTGCCTTGCCCATCTTGCAATACCAACTGGCAAACCTTTACCCCCTGCCATGGGAATCGCTTTTAAACTTCGTATTTTAATTTAGGCAACGAGTCAAACCATCCTTTCAGTTATTTGTGATAAGCAAAATGCTGTCATGGACGTGTTGTGCGCTTTTTCACCGGACATGTTTTCCCACTGCAATCGTTTACCAGTGAACTTGGACGGTCACAGTGTCTCAAGACATGCCTTCGTTTATTTGAACTGTCACATATCTCTTAAATCTGTCAATAGATGTCAGTAAACAATTTTAGCCGTTTAAATGTTCGCAAAGTGTGCTGTGAATACAAGATTAGTTTGATGATACATCTGAAGCAAAATTGACTGGTCCAGACGACAAGCAAAAACCGTTGTTAGTGGTGTCTACAAAGCACACACACCTACAAAACCAGACAATTTTATTAACGTCCCTTATTAAAAGAACAACAAATGACCTAGCTGTGTAAGTCAGGAACTAAATAGTGGGAAAAACTATTACAATGCTTCAAATGCTTGTTTAACTTCCGCTTTTGGTAACGGGCCACTTAGGGCTCCACCACTGTGCATTAGCCGGGCAGCCTTGCCTTCGGGCTATGCCAGTGCCCCTAAGCCCTTCTGTAGGTCGACAGTACATATTCTCCCCGAGCATTGTGTCTTCTTTCGTCTTCAGAGAAGTCTCAAGGGGCTGCGCTACCAATTCTTTACATATAATGTGACTACAGAGGCACAAAGTGTACCTACATGCAACGCATCGAAATGGTACATGTTCACCCAAAAAACCACAAAGTCTTGATAATAACCACAACCAATTTCTCCGAAGAATTTGGCATTTAGTCGAACAGCACCACAGGCCGCATGAACGTAGTGAAGTGGTCAGTGTGCCGTCAAAATTCAGACCGTAAACACAAAGGAGAAGGGTAGACGTGGGACGCCAAGGGGAAGAAGCATCCGGTGTTTATTTACGAAGTGTAAACAGAGACCGAAATAAGCCACCAAAAACACAGACACACTTACTAGAGGACCTTTCTGTTCCACTAAAGAACGAAATCGTAGACCAGGTTCGTTCCGCGACGTAACCATATTTACTTCCCAAACACGTATTGAGTTAAGTGGTGGGTAACGAAAACGGATCCCAAATTAGAAACGTTTACGGTGTAGTAAACATTACTACCAAAATTTCTAAATCCAGAACCGCTAAGACTTGGCACCCAAAGGGGATAATAGATGACTCCATTGTTCTGTACTAATTAAAAGCCTCAAAATATGCGTTCAATAGGAACCAACTACGCCATTGCCCAGTGACTGAAACACCCAGCTCCTATTACTACGACTTCTGCAATTCACCGGAAATAAGGGACGATCAATTCGCATGCAAGAACGAACTCTTATTTGTTTTGTTTATACAAGTGTAAATAAATTAATTAACAATCAGACTCACACCATTTCAAGGGACAATATACCGGTTAACACAAATAGGAAAGGATTGGCTGGAAAATTAACAATCATTAAGAAAAAGAAAAGAACTGAAAGATTCGTACAAAGTTTATCTACTGGGCCTTCTCGTGTAACTGAAATTTCTCCCTTTGCTTAAGTTCAAATTTGGCGATGACCCAATCACGAAGGTAGCCGGGCAGCAGTCCTAAACCAAAGACCATCAACTCGTGTGGCATGAAGCCGCAACATTGAGAGGCTACGCCGATCATACCCAGCGCCGAGTTGGCAAATAACTCGGGAGTGGGTTTGAAGAAATTAACTTTCTTTTCGCCCCTACTAGGCGTCCAAACGAAGCCTGGAGTGAGGGTGAGAAATCGAATCCGAGTGTCCAAAAGTCCCCTTGTTTCACCGGAAACAGAAGCAGAGAAGTTCTGCACAAATGACTTGCACGCGGCATAGAGGGATTTGTAGGGACGAGGGTAGATGGCCGATACGGAGGACATGTTGATAATGCAAGGCGGATGCTTGGGGTCTTTCTCATAGGACAATAGCATCTTCGGCATTGTAATTCGTGTCATACAGGCGGTGGATATAGCATTGCAGAAAATCATACGCTGGATAAATTCGGTGCTCAGAAATTCACAGGTAGCTATTGGACCCGCGCAAATCTGGGACATCCCGACGTTATTGATAAGACAGGCGACCGAGGAAAGGGCATCGATTTCGCGTTTCAGAGCCTCATAGAAATCACCCTAGCATTGAAAAATTCCAGGTGAAGAAATTAAAAAGCAAGATATAAGACACATATACGCACCGTACCTTTGTGAAGTCAGCAACAAAATACTTCGTCTGAACTTTTTGTTCGTGTTCAAGGTCCTGGGACACGTGGAGAAGTTTTTCGGCATTGCGACTGATAAGGAAAATATTGAGTCCATCACTGGCAAGTTCCTCTGCGAAGGCCCTGCCAATGCCGTCAGTCGAACCGGTTATGATGGCCCAATCGCCAGCGCGTCTGAGTTCATGCCGCTTCGAAAGTGCATGTTTAATAGGATCGAAATATCTTAATATGGTCCACGCAAAATAAAATAATTTAAATAGAACAAATCCCACAACACAAACAAGGACGAAACCAGCCATCCAGTCACAGGCCCAACTGGCAGGGCACACACACAAGTTCTGTAAGTAAGCAAGGTTGTGCAGTCTATTAAAATTAAAGAATGTCAAATAATCACTTCCCAGTAAAGGCACAAATATATTCAAGTATGTATAATAACATAATTACACCTTTGAATATCATGACTTACAACCTGCAAAACATATTGTTCTTATTAAACCTTGATTTATGATATACATGGTCAAAGGAGAAAGTCGTGGATGTGAGTAAGCAATTTTATTTGTTATTTATTTCTGTTGTTCTTTTCGAACAGATGCAGCTCGCATACGAAGACATCAATTGAGTTTGAAAGCAGGAGACTTTAAACACTTAATATCTGCATGTTTTTCAACACTCGAATTATTTTTGATCAGATGTTAATATAGCATTAATGCTAAAACTATCAAAAATAATTTTATGCCTTTTATCGATCTCACACTTTAAAACTCGCGTTCGTCTGCAGAACAATAAGGTTTAATTAAATTCTTATTAATCTTTAATACCATATTTGAAGGACGGGCTATAATATACGTGGCTAGAATAAAATTCCATACTGTTGTGGGCTGATATTCAGAAGTTTTGCAAAAAATAGACTTTATTGATGAATCAAAACAGCTCATGCCTAGACACCACAATTTACTGGGAAGGTTTCTGTAACCTACTGAGTTACATCATCTCTTTTAGGTACCGCTTTGTTCAATACACAAGGCGCTTCACGCCTAGCGTTGTGCGGTCGCATTGTCGGTTGCTTAATATAATCGGTGTTTTCAATGGCTTTATCACTCAATGAGCAGAAGCAATTACAATTGGACTCGCAACGTAAGCTGGCTCAAGCCAAAAGCCCGCTAGAAAAGTTGCGATACACATGTCTCTGTCGCGGTGCCAGTGGAATAAATGGAATCGGCCGGCAATTCCGTATAATAGATGACGATAACAACAAGTTGATTTCTAAGGAGGAATTCGTGAAGGTTTGCCATGACTTCAGAGTTGGCCTCACGAATGATGAAACTGATGGTCTTTTTGCTGAAATCGATCGAGATGGGTCTGGTTCAATCAATTTTGATGAATTCCTAGAAGCCTTGCGGGTACAATGTGGTTTTTATCTAATTTTTCAGCCGCCAATGTCGGAAAATCGCAAAAAAATAATAGAACTTGTTTTCAATAAGATGGATAAGACTGGCGATGGTGTAATCACGGCAAGTGTGCCTATTTGTGTTTTTCTTGTTGATCTTAAGCCAGCCCTATTAACTTGAATTTTTGCACAAACACCGTATCACATAATCTTGATCTGCAGTGTGCAAAGTTGATGTAGTAGCCTATTTTTTAGTAGGCAATTCAAACTGAATAACATTTTAACTTGTTGCATAAGCAGGTAAAGTGTAGCGTGACGTGCACCTTGATTTAATGTTATTTTCATTTAAAATGGTAGAATGTTGTAAGAAAAGTGAATTTACACTATAATCAAGAACTACATTTCAAGGCATCAGAACACCGACACCGTCTGTGTTAGAGTGTGTGCAGAGCACACGTTGGACGCTACGCTTTTGCTAGCCTGTCGAATAAATTCACCATTTCTGAGGTCTATTTTATTTAATTAAAGGCCGACGATCTGAGGGGCGTCTACAATGTTCGAAGCCATCCCAAGTATCTGAATGGCGAGTTGAGTGAAAAGGATGTCTTAAATGAATATTTGAAGACTTTCGAAAGCAGAGGTGAAAAGGATGGGAAGGTGGGTCAATCTTCTGGATCGTTTTTTGGCGTTTTTCATAATAAGTCGTCATACACTGGTTTTCCGTCGAATCCACGTTGTACCTTATGTCATTCATTCATTCCCATCATTTTTGTTCATTCAATTTCTATCTTGATTCGAATAACAATGCGACGTCTTACAATGTTTTTTTTTTAATTTGTCCTGTTAAAATGAAATTTATTCAAAATCGCGATGCTAGGAATTGGATGAATTGGGACTTCATGCATACATTTTCGTAAATATTGAGGTGATTGTGTTTCCTGAACGGCTACCAAATTAATGTCATTTTTCTAATAGACAAGGAAGTCGGGGCGAACTTTGGCTGTTTTGATGGGATGTTGATTTGCTGGGCCAAAAGTATGCTTTTTGAAGTCGCCAGCTTAGCTTTATGGGACTTCACTGCTCTTTTTTACGAATCGGATAGGCCTAGCATGATGTAACAGTGCTGTGGTGCTTTTGAAAGCACAATAGCGCCTCGCTGTTCTCGCAGCATTAGCTTGTTAAAATGTCTGCATTTCTACGGTCACGCCGTCCATTGCTTAGACTTGGTCTTCTAAGCAGATAACTCAGTTGCCGGGCCTGATTTTTTTAACGCCCTGCCTTGCAGATCCTTGGTGAGGTTGTAATTTTGAGGTCGAAATCACTGAGTAGGGGTCAACTCAGGGTTAGTTTACATGCTGTGAAGTAACCTGTTTTCACATGCTTGAAGGACTTTTCTAGGGCTAATACATGTATCTTCACCTTCCCCTGGAGGTATAACCACCTATCTATTTCCCATGCTTTTTTGTGTATGATCCTCCAGCATTCCACCAAATCAGGTAATTTTCCGTTAACAGTGTTGAAGAATCTTACTCTTTCAGTGTTCAAGGGTGTTTCTTGTTGTGCCTTTTTTTGCCTATTTATCCTTACTGCTTTCCGTGGATTTCATTCTTTTTCCCGCTTATTATAGGTGACTTGGCAAGAATTTTTAAACTATTACAGCGCGGTGAGCTCATCCATCGACGATGATGTCTACTTTGATCTGATGCTTCGTAACGCCTACAAACTATAGACCGTATCCTGATTTCCAACCGCTTTTTTTATCAGAATGCAACTAAGGTGTCTTTCTCCTTGTTTTGAGCTTCTGGCCTTTTGCTAATTGTGCCGTTAGAACTTTTGCTTCCTTATCGGGTCTGTCGAGAAATATAGCGTCATTTATCTGAAATTTTTTATCTTTATTATCAGCATTTAAAGAATACGATAACGTTGTTTAGACAGTTCAAGTTTACTACAAAATTGTTCTTACTTCCTACACAGTAAGAAGCTAGTAATAGATTCTTCAGAGTACTTGCTGAAGGAAGGATTAGGATGGGCAGCTCGTAGGGCGCTAGGATGAGCCCCTCTCCTCTTCGTGGCATCCTGTTTCGAGGATTTTATTTCATAACGGGGAGTTTGAGCACCTGCGGTTGGTACACTGATCTTATAATGGCTTTTTTAAAGTATGGATATCCTGTAGGGGTTTGGTGCCACGTTAACCCTGGTCTCTTTTTCCCAAAGAAACTATACTTTTGCAACTATAACAAGTTGGCTGAGCTGTGGTAATACACATCCTCTTGAGATCGGAGTTTCGTCCAGGTTTTGCGGGAGGTCTCGGAAGGTGCTTACGTAGGTTGAATCGTCAGTGCCTCACCACCTTTTTTACTTCGAGGCCTTAAGTGGTTAGAGTTTTTTAATTTCTCCGAGACTTTCCTGGGGACCGAAGAAGACAATACTCGAGCCCAATATGCATTAGGTACGTACAGATGAACTGGAGGGCCACCGCCATGGTTCGAGGATCATGCCACTCAGCGGAAATGCTGTCGCAGAGCCCCAAATCCCCACGAAACCAAAACAAAGAGGTGAACAATCAATCAGGGTATTATATATCCCCTCTCCTCTTTTGCGCATTGTCCCCGGCTCTTCTCTTGGCCAACCACCCGCATTGATCATCACAACATAATTGGTGCTCCGGTGAAAAACCCACCAGCCAACTGTGCCAGTCATTGAGTTTCCATACAACTGAGGAGATGTCTGACTGCATCGTCACTAATCCCTCTTGGCAATTCCAGTGGACCTGGAGTTCCGTTCTGTATCGGGACTGGAGTCCGGAACGGAGGAAAATGTGTTGGTCATCGCGCGTTTCCGTCGCTAGTCCTAGGAGCACTGGTCCAAAGGCAGAGGCATATAACAGGACGAGGTCTAAGATGGTTCTTTTTGGATATGGCTTAGCGTCCATCCTTTCCTGCTACTTGGTTCTCACTTTAGTGCTACCCAGCCATATGCATCTCATCGCTGTCTATCTAGTAGAGAGGTGGAGGAGGTATAGAGTATTCACTTAGCTGATATCTTCATTCAGGTACTGTAGGCAGCTCTGCAACGAGTTTTCCAGAAGGTTCACGACCAGTATCGCCTCAGTTGTTAATGGTGTTCCTGCAGACCATGAGACTGGGATAGTCGCCGAAGATAGACGTCATTTTCAGCTTTTCTGAAGGGGACCTTCACCGATTCTCCCATCTATGGCATGTGCCCTTCTGTCCCGCTAATATTTAATCACCCTGCAGTAGAAGGGAGGATATTTGCCCTTTAAGATGTGGCTAGCTTTCTGCTGTCACCAATGCAGCGCCCCAATACTTCCCTGAAGACGAAAGAAGAAGTAATACTTAGACAGAATATGTTTTGTCGACGCACAGAGGCCAGATCACTGAACGAAGAATCGATTGGAGCTGCACCGGTGATGATGTCGACAGTAAAGACGGCGACGACCGGCGTCTCTCGTCTGATATGGCTATTGCGCTCTCGTCTCCTTTCTCCTGCTGAACTGCAGCGGGCACCTCCGTAGTCGTACCAACGGTCGAAGTGCTGCCTTGGGTGACTGACGACAAATGGAGTGCGGCATTTTGGGGATCTTACGGCGTTCTGGGTGGCCCTCCAAGACTTTCCATTGTGAATGGCAAGAGTGTATAGGAAAAGCCCTCATTGATGTTTACAACTTCGGCAGGAGGTGAATTATCACAAACCAACTCCGAGGTGGTTCCCTAGAAGATTTAGGTCTTAGTTCCAGAAATCCAAAGATCTTTCAGGGCTGAAGGTTCCCTCAGTTGATTCATGGAAGAGTTCGGATAGATCGAAAGGACTTGGGAAAAGGTAGCATCTTCAAGGGTCAAAATCCGTCTTTCAAGGTCAACTGAGGTGCCAAGTTCTGCAGTGTTAGAATCAACAGCAGGGATGTTTGAGCTCATTTGCCCTAAGTGCCATTGAAACCAATAGAAGTTAACGAAACAATTAAAGCATTACAATTAAGACGACATTAATTGAGCAGTTCCTCAAATTTTGGGTTGTTAAACTCCTCCAATTAACAATGGCACCTAGACAAAAGATAGAACAAATTAAATAAAAAGTAGGAAATAATTACAAAAGGAGGATAAGGTAAAGCTGAAGTACTTCACTAACAAAGTTGGGGCATAGTCTAGACATGGTAGAAGGTAAAATCGGCAATTACTGCCTCGAAATGAATGCCGCATTGTCTAGTGAGCACGCTACTAACTTCTCACTGTAGTTTTGGCACCTTATTTGCAATTTGATTGTCATTACACAGGATGAACAGTGTAATCACGCCTAGTGTGAAGCTTGTCTGTTTACCTGAACTGCCACGTAGCACTAGACTTCATAGGAATCCATTCCTCACTGTGACTGGTGACACCGCCCTGACTAGCTGTCCCACTACACCATGCCACCATAATAAAGCTTTTGTTGACACATAGCAAGGTGTCACAAGAAATCCGAATTCGATGTAAGGCACCGTGAAGAGAAGCGCTTGTCTTTTTAAAGAACATGTGATTGAAGGTGGGACAGAAGTGGAACAAGTGTAATACGTTGGTTGTTTTTTCAACCCCCGGTTTTGGAGAGGGGCCACTTTGGGGCTTCGTCACGGTACCTTCGCCCGGTGGGCTGGCCTCTGAGCTATATCAGTAGCCTTCCAGTCCTTCTGTACGTCAACAACTTATACTCTACTCCAGCATTATGTCTTCTTTCGCCTTCAAGGAGGTCTCGGTTCGTTATATTGGTAGATCCGATTTTAAAGGACAACTGTCCAAATTTCTACTGGTGGTTGATATAACTCAGCGGGGCAGAAGAAGTGCATATTGCTGCAGAAGGGAGAATCGGTGAAGATCTCTAAACAGAAGGGCTGGAAATGACGTCCATCATTGGCAATTACCACGGTTCCGTGGCCTGTAGGAAAGCTATAGGTAGCCAAAGCGACACTAGCCATGAACCATCTGGATTAGTTCGTTACAGAGCTATCGACAAAACCTGAATGTAGATATCAACTAAATGAACAAGCTATACCCCTCCACCTCTCTTCTATCTGGAAAGAACCGAGATACATATATTCAGGTAGCACTAAAGTGAGAACTAATTGGCAAGGATGAATAGACTCAAAACCCTACCCCCACGGAACTGTTAAACCCCAACCCATCTTACATGACTCTCCTTGTGGGTCACTGTTCTTACTACAAACTATGGACACGCGTGATGGTTAGCATGATTTTCCCTCCCCGACTCCAGTTCCTACATAGGCCAAAACTCCAGATTCACTGGAATTGCCAATGGGGATCAGTGTCTTCTTAGCCACATGGAAATTCGACGACTGGCACAGTTGGCGCGTGAGTGCGATGTAATGGTCAACATGGGAAGTTGACCAAGGGGAGGACCGAAAAAAACGCGCAAAAGAGGAAAGAAGCTATGTAATGCGTTAATTGTGTTTTCGCCTCCCGGCTTTGATAAAGGGATCAATTTAAATCGCCTCCATTAAACCTTCGCCGCGTAGGCTGGCCTCCGGACCGTACCAGTAGCTCTTCATCTCTTCGGTACGTCGTCAGTACATGTACTTCTCGCCGATTATACCTTCCTTCACCTTCGGGGAAGTCTCGGGGCACTGCACATTTATGATAAACTACCTGATGAAAGGCAGATTTGGGCAAAATTATATCCAACTTCACGACTAGTGTGATTTTTAAAAAATTTGCATTTGCAGTGGAAAATCACAGGTTTTCAGCTCACACTGTATCACGGGGTCAGAAATATTCCGTGCAGTATACACCCTACGCTGCAATACTGAACCACCATAACTTATAGAGACTTGTGAAAGGCTATTATTTAAATGTCCATACACTTTATTGTGCTCCGCACTATATTCCTGTCATTTGAGACCCCACATAGTGTCGGTTGAATCTCCTGGGCGTGATTCGAGATTGTCTGCTTTATGAGCAAGGTCTGGCTAGATTACAGACGAAAGTATTCATTGTAAATGTTTAGCTGAAGGGCGGGCAATTACACTTGATAGACATCTTTTGGCACAGCTCAAGGATGTGCAAGGCAAATCCATTCTTTACAAAGGGAAAGGACTAGCCAGTCAATCGCAAAATCTCGATCCCCGAAACACTTTAGGGCTGGAAGGAGGTGGTAAATCAGCATTACCTCCCGTTTCCTCTAAGTTGTTCACCATAGGAGGGTTAGCACCTTTCCCTCCAGCTAGCCAACCAAATGCGAAACAGTGGGAAAGTGAGATAAATACGCAAAAGCTTGGCTTTGTTCTATTAATTATGTGTTTAGAGGAGCCTCATCACACATCATGGAAATGCATCGCTAATTTTAACAATTCAAACTTTGTTTGCTAGTGTAAAAAATTACCATTCGCTGCATTTGGTGGGTCGGTTTTTCTAAGGACAAGGCTTAAATCATCACCTGAGGTAAATGGTATTCTGATGTTCATTTTAGTCCTTTTTGGCGGTTCGGGACGATCGAGTTCACCGTGTGAGGCTGAAAAGAGATTTGTATTATGCCACACTTTGATAGCATCCTCCAGCGCCTCAGCGCTTGTTCCTCTGGACAACTTCACCCGTACTGCTTAACTTTAACATTCCACACCCACCTGAGACTTCTTTGAGGACTAAAAGCGAAAGCCCACCCGGCAAAGGTACAATTGTTTCCATGATCGAGAGTTAAGCAAATAATTATTGTAATTCTACCGCTTAATCTCTAATTTGATAAAGTTATAGTAGAGGCGAATCCGCGTCGAGGGAAGACAATTGAGAGAGGGAGTAATGAAAAGACATCCACTACAAGCTCTGTCGGATGTTTAACGGTCTTACGTGATTATTCCAGGGAATAATCTCGGTTACAATGATTGGAGCAAAAGTGATGCAAATCTACTTTTAGAAATGGTGGAAGCAACCCTGATAAATGATTAGATGGCATCGAACTAAGGAAGTGAGGTCTGATTGACAAGGAAATTGTCGAAGAAACTGAAATTGTGCTTGGACTGACAACGTTAAATCGTCTAGCATTCTAACCTGCTTCCCGGATAAAGTACGCATTTCAGTTATAACTTGTACTGTGCTACTTTATTTGTTTGACTTCTCGTTTTAGTCACGCGGGCACTGAAGAGCAAATCCACTGTACTTCTTCCCATCGGCATGGCATCCGAGCCAAACTGGTAGCCCTCAGTCCTTCTGTATGTTAGCAGTACATAATCACCCCTAACATTATGTATTACTTCGTTGGCAGGGAAGTCTCAGTGGGCTACAATAATTCAAAATCGCAGATCTCGAGAGGTGCATCTAGTCTAAGACGCATTAATCGCATAACATGGAGTAGCATTTGTTCCTCTCTCTGACATTAATCTTGCGGAATCATTTTTTAGTGGAGGAACTTCTTGGAAAGGCGTGAAGTGCAAGGAATTGGTGGTATTAACCATAAATACTTAGATGAATCGAAGGTTTTTTCCCAGCACGCTGCTTATATAAACGCGACCTCTGTTGGCAATAATGGATCAGCTTCTTTAAGTGACAGCTCTGAGGATAATCCTGAAAGCATGATTTGGATTCGGTAAAGTGTTGCTGTTTGCTCAAAGTTTACATCCTCTTCCAGAATGATTCAGTCCATATATTTGGTTGCATAAGAATTACTCTGAGCTGTTAGAATTGGCAGGTTCCTGCCCATCTCCACTATTCCAAAGATACTAAGCAATAAAATATGCAGTTGAAGCCTTTTTAGTGAATTAAAACTAATTTAATACGAAGGGGATAAGTGGGCGCTTCTCACGCACGCAGGATTTTCGATAATTAAAGGAAAAATGAACCCTTGAAAACGCAGTATCACATATTCATTCTAATTTTATGTGCGCATCTAGGCAAGGTTAAAGTTAGACGTGCTTTTTTGCCCAAATTTTGGGTTCTGTTTTAAAAGCATAACTTTGCCTTTATTTTGTACTTTAGATGCCCCGAAAAACGCACGAATTGTGAATCGATGCGTCAGCAATTAAAAAATGAGGGCATGACGATCTGTGTTTTTGGTTAAATGCTTTAGTCTAAAAACTTTAAGGTTATTTTATTTTATCGCACGACAAATGTACTCACTAACCTTGAACACCCACTCAAGTTTCAAATTAGTAAAACGCGCGAGGTATATTCCTATCAGAAGTGAGTATGGTCCGCGATTTGCGATGCAGATTTGTAGTAGCGTTTTAATAAGATCTTATTTGTAACCAATATTGCTGCGAAAACTATATTTTTAGTTGGTTTTTACTAATTTTGAGTTGGGGCTATTCAACTAAATGATTTGTGGGACGATGAACAAAGGCAGTCTTATTGAAATGCTCCCTGTCGCAAGCATTTTTTTTCCCGCTTTACTGAACTTCTGGGCCTTTACATATATTTTTTGCAATAATGCTACCGGAAGCTCTCCTATAGGGACGCATAATGTTCATCCGCCTTTTGAACCAAATGTCTTTTTGTTAACTGTCATGCCTTTCGTTGAAATAGTTACAACTGGACATTCTGCAATTCTGCCCACTTTAATCCTTTTAATTTTTTGTTGTCCAAGATACTTCCCCTGACCTGTCGTTAGGAAGTCTTTTTGTCTAAAATGTCACTATGTTGAAATTACTGTGTCATTAAATTTAAACCACTGTCAGTCTGATGTTCTTACAAACAGTTCGTCTTTTTATTCCTATGTTTAACTTTTTTCTACATTAGCAAGCCTTGGACACTCAATTTTGACCACTTAACGCGTCTCATATCTGTTTTCGTAGATTTTAAAACCAAATCCAATCTGTGAAAATTCCTTTTATTATGCAAGAGAGTTTTGGGAAGTATAATTTTTTGCAATTTTTGTTAAAACTTTAATGGGTAATGTCTTATGAAACGGATACGAATTTGGTTGGTCCTAATAATAATATATTCGAAAAAACAACAATTCTTGGTTTTTCTTTAGCAGAATTCCATCTTTTACACGCGGAAATAATGCTAGAATCTGATTCCTCCGATTTTTATTTGGTTCCGCATTTAGAATAAATGTAACCGTGTCTGTTTCAGGTAGTGTGGTAGTTTTGGTTATTCCCATCGGTATTCGTCATCGCGTTTCCATTTAGAGATCGTGATATAACTAGCAACAAAATCTGACTCCAATGGTAATTTTTGGGCCTACAACGTAATAGGTGTGGAGGGCTCACATCTTTTGCACTTGAGTACCAAAGTCTGATTGAATCCTGTCATGCATTAAAGTTAACAGTTTTATTTCAATAATTGTTGACGCTTTGGGGCAGAAGATCATTAAAAATAATCCTAACATGCTTCACTTAACTGAAGTTTGTTATTCAAAACGAGCCCTTTATCCACGTTTACAATCAAATTACTTTGTGGCTTAAGATTAGCATTGCAAATAGCAAAAGAACCATCGGTTTTTTGTGCGTGTTTAGGTTTAAATCATACACCATACTCTTCCACAGTTTCGAAAGGCAATGGAGTTGATTTCCCGGTTTACCTATATTTTTTCACCATCAGATGTCCACGGATTTAGAGGCTCAGAGAACGCAGGGACCCGAGTCGAGTGTAGCCGTTCTGCCGGATTTTGATGTCCCTCATGGTCTGCGATTCCTCCTAAGAACCACTCAAATTCGCGTCTACCGTGTACCCATTGAGGGCGAAAGTAAGTCTTTTCTCATTTGCCACATTTTTGTCACTTTTACAATGCATGGTGACTTTATCCTATTAACCTGCACCACGCACTTAAATGGGGCTGTTAATGTGCCCATAGGTATTGTTCTTTCCGGATAGCCTAGGCCATTTATAAAAAGTCCTGAGGCCAGTGAATATAATTTGTCTTAAATAAGCCCCGACTGTTCATTGCTTCCTTAAAGCACAGTCTTTAAACCTCTTTGTCTGATGACAGGTTTGACAAGCCTGTTTTCTATCCATTGATTTTACATTCCTCTTTATCTTCTTATCACTTCATTAATGTCATATTTTGATGCGATTTTGTCGTCTGTTGGTAAACACATTGATAATACCTTGTATTCGACCATGAAAATTGTTTTACATAGAAGAAAGTTGCTTTTGTAAAGTTTGCACCAGGTGAGTCGTCACGAAAGCAATTCATGTATTTTATGGATGTGGGATTAGTGTTAGACCAGATCAGATAAGTTTAGCAATAAAATCCCTCGGGAATTAGGTAATACAAAGCATCTAGCTTGGCAATTTGCTTTTATAAAACGGTGCACTGTTTAAGCAAACTTGAATATCAATAGAATCAAAGTGTCGCCTTCGTAAAAGGCCACTGGCGTTGCGTTGGACCCAGAGCGCCACTATCTCTACCATGTGAACAATTTAGCTACCTCGCCTTGTTTACATTTAGTCCTGTGTCCATTGGGTGAACCATCTCTTGCCTCCATCACGCTTTCAGTGGCTTACGCGGGGTTATGCTTGTTTTACGCAACTCTTTCCATTATTTTTAATGTTTTACTAATTTTCTTGGATGTAGTACTTATGGGTACTTGTGAGCGTGTTAATCTCTCCCCTATGTAACATTAATTTCCGGCCTGTGGTTCTTATCCCATGGAGAAATTACCTATACTTTCTATCAGCAAGTTAGATTGTATTTCCTATTGTTGGTATGATTCCAGTGTCTTTAATGCAGCGATTCAATTTTTCTCATTGAACAGCTCTGTAAAGATCAGGGATCACCGATTCGACAGCCACTTTAGCTCGTCCCTGAACGAAACCGGTGTCTGAAGGACTTTTGTGGTGCCCGATGCCAAGATACGCATTACGGTTTCTATCGCAGTTCTTTCTACCGATCTTGCCTACTTCCAAAAGCGAGCCTCTACCACAAACAGAGGTGCGAATGTGAGACCTTCTCAGTGCATTTGAAAGACTTCCACACGAGTCTCTTATCGGTACTACGCTCTTATATGAGACCCTTTTGATCTGCAGCTAGTGATGACCAGTGAAATTTACCCATTCCAAGATGAGGGGCGCTACTTTGTGACGGGAATTGGTGGTTTTTGCATTTCTACATTTCCTGATCAAAATTGGAATTTTTCCAAGTTTATGTGAGGGTGTTTGAATAAATAAGTTCATCCATTTACTGTGGAGAGGTAAACAACGAAAGCCACTGATGCCAAAGCTTGCGGTAATTTTGACCGAGGATGCGATTGAAACAAGTTTATTAGCAAGGCTGTTCACTAAACGCACTAAGTACTTGAAATTTTGAAATTCTAATCTGTTATACGATTCAGCTGAAGTGAGAGACTCACTAAGGCTCAAGAGGCGGCAGATCACTTAATAGTCCTCAGGAAGCCTCTGATGGATGGCGCCAGAAGTTGTTATTAGACTTCAGCAAATCTTCGATTTTGTACCCTGTCAGATCCTTTTCTAACCATTTTTCTTTCGTTTGGCTCATTTTTTTCTCTTTTCTGATACTGTCGTGCTTCTCTGTCGTGACAATTTACGCATTGGGGACTATGTCAAATCTTGCTGCTTTTGCGTCACGCAGTTCAAGCAATCCGACCATCTTCTAGAGCAGACCTCCCACACGGCTCATCCGTAATCAGGATTAGAAAAATTATCAAATTGCTAAGCCTCACTTCGTTGGTGTTTTGAGGTGCCTATGTTACTGCTACAATCCCATGACAGCCAATGACAAATTCTTAAGGTGTTTATGGTCTCATAAATAAAATGATGCTAAAAAACGATACGCCGAAAGGTGGAGAAATCCAGGCCAGTTAAAGCTAAATGCTGAAGGCTTTAACACTCAAACTGGCACTCTAAGGAAATCAAACGTGTTCCATTCGGTAACTTGATGGTATGAACAGAAACAAGTCTTCTCCTCATTCACTCTATTCTTCTCCTCTCCCGTAAAGGACTCGATAGGTAATCGCAAACTACAATGCATTTAAAGTGGTGGCAATGCACTTTCATAATATATGGAGATAAAGGCATCAATTCTCGAATTGAACCTCACTGAACTACCAACAATACATTCTGCGGCACATCAGCCCATTCTCCGCGCATGTCGATCCCTTCACTCTCCTCTCTTCCCCTCTTTTTTTGTAGATAAATGCTGTTCAGCGTTTCCACGGAAGTTCTATGTGGCGGATGGTGAGGGCAACCCAATCCTCGAGGGGGTGGAGTCGAGCAGTTGGTGCGCTCGTCTCTGCGCTGAGAGTTCACATGCCTTTGAGGTCGACTTTCGCGATGCCGATGGGGCCACCGTGCTCTCCATGGAGAAGACCGCCGGCTGCTCTGCTTTCTACTGTTGCAATGCACCCGTAAGCCCATTTTTGAGTCAGAAGGGGTAATCTTTCACTTCCCGGTCTAGCAGTTCTGACTTTTAGTTGTTGTTAAAAAATTGTGCTTATAGACTGCGGAAGTGCCAAAAGACTGGATTTAAATTTTATATGGAAGAAAATATAATACTCGGGCAGAATATGTATTGTCGACTTATAGAAGGGCAGGCGAGGGCTGCTGGCATACTCCAGAGGCACTCCCCTTGGTCACCCTCCAGCGTTAGCCATCACAACTTAATCGTTGCTGCAAGAAACACCCACTAGCCAACCCCCCCAATCATCGAATGTCCGCAGACAGCTCCGTGCCGAGCTTTTCCAGATGGTTCACGGCTAGTATCACTTTTAGATGTTAATGGCATTCCTGCAGAAGATGGCACTGAGGTAGTTGCCGAAAATTGACGTCATTTTCAACCCTTCTGTTAAGGGTCGTCACCCATTCTCCCATCCGTGGCAATATGCACTTCTTCCACTCTACTAAGGTTTATTACCCAGCAGTAGAAATGAGGATAGATGTCCTTTAAGATCGGATTTGCCGTCCGCTGCCACCAGCGTAGCACTCCGAGACTTCTCTGAAGGCTAGGGAAGAGATTAAGCTCGGGCAAAATGTGCTGACGACGTAGAGAATGGCTTGGGTGTGGCCTGAAGGCCAGCCCACTCGGCGAAGGCACAATGAAGGTGCAGTTAAGTGACCGGCCCCTTTACCGAAACCCAAATTTAAACAAGCAGCCAACACATTATATTATTGTACACGCATTTGTGGAAGTGAATTATTGAGATAGAGGTGCACCTTTTAATGAACCAAATGTTGCCCTGACAAACTAATCCAAATGCGATATTTCATTGAATTGTTTTGAGGGCGTTTCGCCTGTGGCTGTTCTTACTGAGGCAATACCATGCGGTTTTATTGAATCCACAAGGGCACCTCTTTCGCATCATCAAGTGAGAGTTTTGAAATGCTTTCAGCTCTGGAACTCTGTTTTGATGTTCTTTCGGGTTGCGCACATTCGGCACGTGGAGCACTCGTGATTTTTTTTCCCCTATCTCCAACACCAGTTGATGTGAGGCAGCATCCCCTTCACCGAGATTGAGGAGCTGGGAGGTCACCTAACATCACTACGTCGCCTTTTTATCTGCCATGTCTGCTCTTAAGCACTTTCTCCGATCAAAAACCATTGCAAAGTGTGCTTTCCCTTAACATTCTCGACAAGCTAATGAATGATATGACGGAATGAAATTGTCTCAGTAACAACACTGTGAGCCCCAAATCGACGCCCCCTCAAGGCAGTCGGAGAGCTTTTTCTTTCACTGGTGTGAGTATCGAGAGCGCCTTTCAACTAATGACTCCCAATTTCATTGCAACATATCTTTCTTAAGCCTTACCTTCTGGGTCCCAAAAAACGGATTTTTTAATCCGACGACGACGGTTTGACACCAAGCTTTACAAGATTCAAATAAACCATATACATTTTGCTTAGATCGCCTCTTTGTCTGAGATGCATGTCCCCCCGCTACCCCTGCGTTTGGATCTTCAATCTCCCCATAAAATTGAGCGGTTTAATAAGAAATTACTAGCTAGTAGATTACCCCAAACCATTCATTTGCCTCAAGTTTTCTCCAAAGAAGTTTTATTTCTTGCCTTGCCTCCGTAACCTTGTATCGCTCATTAAAATGCGTCTTCCGTCACGCCCACAACCGAAGGGAGTCCGCATCTTCCACCAACCTGACGCCACAGAATTCCGATAGGAACATTCCAGCCCCTATAGGATCGCAAATGGATGGCTTCGAATCCCCCCTAGTGGTCACAGGTCCTTTGTACCATGTCAACCATCAATCACTGTCACGAAGCTCGCGCTCTTTTAATAGAAGATATTTATAAATCTTAAAGTAATAATTTCATCTTTATAGATCCCCGAAATGCATTACTTTTTCCAACCTTTCACTCACTTCCTCCACTGAAAATGCCGTCATTTGAATACATTAATTCGTTTTGTTTAATTAGATACAACTTTTATGGAGTTTACGAACCCTTTCTGAGATAGTCCTTGAGACACCTCTCTAAAAAAGTATCAGTATATAATAATTTATTTCGCGGTAGCCATCTACGGTTTGGCTGTGTTCGATGCGCCAGGCAGTGTTATTGCTGAAGAGGAAACAATTAAACAAACTGTATTGTAGCCAGCATTCTTCGCCCTGGATGTACCTAGACAGACCACAATTATGACTGTCCAAATATTTCTCCTACTACTTCGTGTATTTGACTTCTTTCCCCTGCATGAAACTGCGATTCTCTTCGCGGCATTGCTATCTACGTCCACCCGTTTTTTTTAACCACTGAATAAAGACATGGCAGGAATTCTACAACGTGAGCTACATGTACTCCATTTGCGGTCTTAAGATGGAAGCATTAGAGCGACATTTAAAGAATTGAACAGTCGAAACACTTTTTTAAACGCTCCTTACCTTTTTTGGCTTCCAATTATGACCAATCTACCTTAGAAGGAGTGAGAGATTGCTAGCACTGCCTGTGACGTGGTGGCCAAACCGCAGGAGTCTCCTGAAAGACCCTGAAATGTAGTTAGGCTGCAAGAGTGCCTCAACTCAGGCAGTGTGCGTAGAAAAAATTGCTTCTCGCTCTCTCTTGCAGGCCATCTCCGTTGTGTCAGGAAGTGACAATTATGGCACTGTTCTGCAGTCTGGCATTCTTCCCCGTACTCGGCTTACGCTGCTGGATGGGATTGAAAGACCGCAGCTCCGACTGCTGGGTCCCTGCGCCCGACAAAGTCGCTACATTGACGGCATCTTCAAAGTTAGTTCTCTCCCTAATATAGATTGGTTTATTTCATTGTCGTACCACAACAGCAGTGGTAGTGGTGTGAGGGTTGGATTTCATTTTTTCCGAATGCGTTTTAATCCACGAGGACGCATTAGTGTAAATGTGAAGGCGAAAGCGCACATTTGATTTTAACATCGAAATGGTGCCTATTTACGATGGTTTTTTTCTTCGGACGCATCGTACATGTAAGAGAGGATAGGCGCACAGGATGGCTCTCTGTTCCCTTGTAGTTGAAGTGCTTCTCAGAACGCGGCTCCCTTGGACGACTGACAGTGCAGCATTTCGCGGGAATGGACAGCTACCAGATCTACTTTCCCGTCGACCTTGACCTCCGCATGAAATGTCTGCTCATTGCCTCTGCTGTCCTCCTGGTGGGTCCTCTATTGCCCTCATCCAATTTCCAAACGTGTGACTGGTCCTGAAGATGTGGATTTCATTTATGACGTAGAAATTAGGTGTAGACCAAAGTAATTGTGGCGGGGAATACCAAAGCGGGGGGGGGGGGGAAGGTAAATGCTTCTTTGGACGAAATCGGCTATGACTGAAACATTCCTCTACTGGAGAGGGCTTTAACTCACTCTAGGGAAGTGATGCATTGCATCTCCAGTTTCATGCATCTCTCATTAGAGTCCTTGGCTTAACCCAATTTCACTCTCTTTAAGTAAAGCTTCAGCTGTCACGCATTTCGCTTGTTAAGCGATAAAGTGGGTCGTGTTTCACATTCCGCGCATGTTTTATAGCCATTAGTCCAAATTCCGGTTTCGAGTTACTCATTTTCGCTGTCTCCGTTTTGGCCTGACGTATACGAGGGGAGGCTACCACCGTCATCGTTTCCTTCCTAGTGTCTTCTAATTGGCGTCAAGTTCTGGTGCACAACTTTTCTCTGCTTGATTAAGGAGCCAAAGAATTTCACATTTACAAGCAATCAAAACTATCATTTTATTCGTAAAAGAGGGAAGTTCGTGATAAGCGGAATGGTGTTAGATGTGGATGAAAGTCTTCCAAGGTGTGGCTGTAGCGCTCTGCGACTTTCCTAACGGCAAAAGAAGACACAGTACTCGGACAGAATGTGTATTACCAGCCTATAAAAGAGCTTGGGGCTACTGGCATGGCCCCGAGGTCAGGCCGCCCGGCTGAGGTGCAATGACGGAGCCCAGTTTTCAATGTATCAACTTCGCTGTTATTTGCTATGCTCAGTTAGTCTACTCAAATAATAAAGCCATTTTTTAAAATTATTTTAGAAGCTTCTCATAAATCAACTTTTTTACTTTACCATCAAAGAAGATAATTAGTCTGTTGTCAAGATGCTGCAGATTCATGTATCCCCGTGTGATCTGTGAGACTTATGGCACCGACTACTGAGGAAATGTCCCACCTATTCTGCAAATATCCCTATTTGACAGAAATGCCTCTTTTAATTGGAAATTACGGAACTTTGTGACGTTGGCTTGACTTATATGCCTGATGCTTGTAGCTTGACGGATTGTTGTTTCCATGGCATCTCAATACCAACGAATTAACCCACTCAGTTAGTACTCGTCCCTTTACCTGTATCATCCTGAAAATATTTTTTTCTATTAATTACGGGTGTGTGATTGTTCTATACAAGTGTGGTAGTCCTATTTCCCGTATCGTAGCACAGCGATTGGTGCAGCTCAAGGTCATTGAAGGTGCAGACCGCCAGGTGGTGGTGGTAGGAGGGAGGGAAGGACCTTCACAAATTACAAGCTGCAAGCGTGTTCTCATGCATACATGCATAGCCGCCTGGCCACTTAACCACTCACCCGCCTGTCAGTTCTTGCCTGTCTGCCCGCCTTCCCGTCGGTGGAGAGCAGCGCTTCTGCGACAAAAAATCGATGCACCGCGGTGATGCAGCCACTGGTGCAGCGTAACAAAGCAGCGGAACGTGCTCACTACTGCCTTTGCGTTTTGCTCTATCCCATGTTCCAAAATGCCAGTGAGGGAGGAGGGGAGACGATCGCTGTAGTGATTACTCGACGCGATAAAAGCAGCAAAGCTTTGGCCCACCCTAGTTTGGCCTACCCTAGACAGTAGAATGTCAAGGACAATCGCACAGCATAGTTTTTCTATTCCGTGGTAAAATTGAAACTTCTGATCAATAGCTGAGCTCAGACAATATATTAAAGTAGCGCTTTCTTACTTCTATTATTACTCCATCAATGCAATACGTCGGCAAAATATCCTTCCTTCCACTACACTCCATACCCTTCACTACACAGCCTGTTTTCGCCTTTAGGATTGTATTTTTGCCTAAATAAACGACTTCGGTCGTAGTGGATCGCTCTGACACTACGATGTGGCGTCCGCCTGCCTCCGAGTCAAGTCCATCACACAGTGGGTTGGGTGCCTTCGCACCTCCCCAATCACCGGTTCCTCTCATCCTTTAATTGTACCGCTTTGTTTTGCTATCCCGCACCAAATTAACGCACCTCTTTGTCCATCCGTTAAAAACATCACTGTTTTGTCCTCTAATAGGCTAATTATTTTTAAGCATATCTTTCTTTTGTGTGGAATTAGCCATATTGGGGGGTTTGGGGAGTACATTACACCCGTAATTATATTTTTCCCAATGTAAGGGTTCAATTTCTATGATGCAACAGTTGCTGGAGGTGAATGCGAATAATAAGTTTCACTACCTCATCTTTTCTACTGTCGCCTGATTCGACTCCTTCAATCTTGTAATTGGATTTTATCACTATTATGGCGTGCCGGGTTTTTAAATGTCATCATTGCAGATTTCGTAATCGCTAACGGCAAAAATGCTATCTTTAGGTGCACCGAAGTAGGCTTTGCACACCCTACCGACTACTTATTTACGGTGGCGCTAAGGGAGGAGTTGTGGGACTTGATTGCCTGGGTAAAAGGAGTGTGTGCTTCCTTGGATCAATCAGGCATCACGCAGTGGCACGCTGCGTGGTCTGCGATCTACTCTGACATCCTACAAATGCTTGAGTGAGGTACTTCCATGTGCTATAAGGGCGGAGAATTGAGAGTGTGCATTGTTCTTGAAGTATAATCGCAAAAAAATCGGCAAAGCTCCATTAGTGAGTTTTCTTACCCTCAGAGCTAACATAGCACCATTGGGGTGAGCAAAAATGTCGGTAAAAAAAACCTGTTCTTGCACGTACGCTATAATCTTTGCTTTAATAACAGTGACTTATTTAGTGGTCTTGATAGTTTAATTATTATGTTTTAACTTTTAAAG